TTTGTTTTTTAAATTTAGTGTTAAAGCTGTTTGCTTTGTCGCTGTCATGATGACACATGCGCAACATAAAGCTAACTATGCAACAGCATCTTATCTCTACAGACAGGAGGCGGGGGGAGGGCTGGGCATGAAAAGTAGTTATTTTAAGTGGTCCTCATGTTTTTACTTACGTCTGTTTGCATAATCAAGCTCTTCTTTTTTTTATTAAGTTATATATTTGTATTCATGTTAAACGACCAAGCGTACCTGTGACATGTAAAGAACTAAAATATTCTCTGAACCAATGTTGTGATTTATTTCTGTTGCCGTTCTGATCATAAAGAACATTTAAACGTATCGCTTTTTTTTTAAATTCATTTTTATTTTTTTTAAACATTTTATTTTTAAAGGTTACCCGCACAACTGTAAAAAGTGTTAAATTATCTATCTAAAATTAAGGCATTAATTTTTTTTTTTTCCTGGAAGTAAACTGGCCTGAAATATGTTAATCCCAGGTCTTAAATTTGGACTATCAGGACTATTTGATCTCATATGCTGTTTATTATTATTATCAGACTTTTCTGTGAGGGAAGCGTATAAGTGGCACTAAGATGTTTTGTTCTGTAACTCGGCGGTTGAGGCTACTGCTAACTAGCTGCTAACTAGCTGCTAACATACCCTTGTTTTGTTGAGCCATTGAGTTATTGCCAGTTGTTTAAGTTGGTGAAACCCTGCAACTAATGGTGACACTTTTTCACTCTTCTGTCTCTTACAGCTACACACACACACACATATATATATATAAATATATATGTTCCACATAATTAATTGACAAAAGACGAGATAGCTATAGCTTTGTCAAAAGTTGTGATGGAACAATTTATACCATAATAAAGATGACATAACAAAAAAGAGTTATTAAAAAATGAAGAAAAATGACAGCTGAAGTAACTCCATACATTCCAGTACATAATGGTTTTTTTTGTTTGTTTGTTTTTAACGGTATGAAAGTGTACAGTAAGTTCAGGCCTCCAAGTAATTCACTGTATTAACTGGGCTCCACAATTCTCCACAAATCTGGCTTCGTGAGTCTCAAAGACGACTCCGTTGCTTCCTTCAGATAAATACCTCAAACGTTTTGGATACATATGCTTCAAGCAGCTTTTGAAAGTTTGAATGCCTCAGCTTGGAATAAATATCACTCACAGATAAGCATCTTCTACTTCCACAGCAATTATTACTCATTTTTTGGGTACTTTTTGCCTGGAAACAAACAAACAAACAAACAAAACAAATAGGTGAGCGTCTCCACAAAAACAGTGGGTGCACTTTCCACCTGTCAGCCAGGAGATGACCTTGGATACAAGTGATGATGACGTCTCTTTCCTGTTCGGATGACTTTAAGAACTTCTGTCTCTCCTTGAGCGCGAACCTTTGGCAGGGGCACCTCCCACTTGCCGGCTTTCTCTTTCCTCTTCTGTTTGATCTGTTTGATCATGTTGGAGAGTATGAAAGGGGCAAAGCGTTTGGACTTGGCAAAATGTGAGGAGGAGATCAGAGAAAACCCGAATATTCAGCTTTGTTGCATGATCAACGTTGATGAGCAACAAATGAAATGGGTTGCAATTAAAACCAGATCAGGGATCGAAACTGAATCATTTTTGTTTCATACGGGAAAAAAATCTGAATTTGTTTTCTTCCTGTTCATCAAGTCCATAAATATCTTTCCGATCTGAACGCAGCTGATTTTAAAGGGGCAGTATTATTTATTTTCCAGGCACACAGTGACATTTTCTAGCACAATAAATCAACTAAGTTATCTTCAGTCGTTACATAAATGCTGCATATATCAAATGTGACTTAACAGAAATTAGACTTTGTGCTTTAACGTCTTGAAATTGAGCCTCTGTCTCTTTAAGAAGCTGCTGCTCTTTCTGAAAATCCACCGTCAGGACATGGCTCCTCTATCAACCCTTTGAAGAGGCAGCAGAATTTGAATTTGATATTAAAATTATTTTCGACGAGGTGAAGCAAATGCAAGGTCGATGAATCACTGATGATGGCAAACAGCCTGCAAATAAGTGAATAAGATTTATTAACTCTGCTGCTCAGGCAGCATTAGGAGTGATTACAACAATGTCATTCGTGCTTTTAAAGTTAATATAAAGCCTGCATCACTCAATAAGCTGTAAAAAAAACTTAGATAAGATTTACGAAGACACCGGAGTCATGCGTTTCGATCTGAACCGGCGCTGCGCTTGCCCTGACCTGTTGGGTCGAGGGAAATTCTGTACAAGAAGTACCTGGAAAAGCAGACGACAGTTCCTCTGTGTGTTTTCTTCACCTATTAGGAGTGTCAAAAGACAGAAACCCCGAGGCTGCAAGTGGGTGGTGATAAAAAACAGAAAGCTATTTGAACATATCACCCGCAGCTGTTTTTTTCTCTCTCTGCCATTTCTTTCGTTATGCAATCAGCTGATTAAACCTGAAGCAACCGTCCTGCTCTGGAAGGACGGTTGCTTCAGGTCCTGAAGCAGATCCAGGCTGCAAGAGTATGCAGCGTGGATAAAAAAAACGATCCCATTGTTACACACACTGTCAGGATAATTCTTTCTGCGCTCTAGGTTTGGGTGTATCAATTTAAATATTGACACTATCCATACCAAAGCGAGTATTGGGATGAGATGGATACTTTTCGCCATTTCCGTTCCTTGTGTCCATCTAACCCAGTGCTTCTCAAATAGTGGGGCGCGCCCCCTTTGGGGGCGCGGTGCGATACCTGGGGGGGCGCGTGTGATCCTGGGGAACAGGCTTTTTTTTTGGCCGTACTAGTATAAAGTGTAACTGCGCACAGTAGGCGGCAGTGGCGCTCTCATTGTTACTTCTGTCAACAAAAAGCTCCGACTGCGTTCTGTCTATGGCTTCCGTTATCAACAACCCCCAACATGAAAAAGTTTTTAACAGGGATGAAAGAAAAGCGGAGAGAGACAAAGATAATGAGACAACAGAAAGTCAACCGAAAGCTAAGAAGAGGAAATCCGACGAAGCGTATTTAGCGCTTGGCTTCACTGTGACTACATGTTGGAGAAGAGGAAAGACCGGTGTGTTTGCTGTGTCTAAAAATGCTCGCAGCGGACAGCATGAAGCCAAATAAATTAGCGCGTCACTTAAATACGTTACATCCCAATCACGGCGGTAAGCCGCTAGAGTTTTTTCAGCGAAAACGTGCTGAATATTGCCAACAGTCATCCCGCTTTGTGAAGGCTACTTCAGTAAACCATCGAGCGCTGCTAGCATCATATAAGGTGGCGTACCAAATTGCGCAGTGCAAAAAGCCCCACACCATAGCAGAGGAGCTGATACTGCCTGCAGTAGACATGGATAGTCACGGTGGGGATTGGGGGGCGCGAATAGTTTTCTTCTTGATATGGGGGGCGTAACGGAAAATAATTGAGAAGCACTGATCTAACCAGAGATGCACAGATGGGTGACAGTGGGCTCAGGCCTGTTCGGCCTCAATTCCCTGCTTCTACTTGTGCCGACTGATCAATTGAAAGTCCGTACATGTCTGACCAAGCTTGTGAAGCCACTGGCGTTTTCAATGCGTGCGCTCATTGGCGGCATAGTGCAATAAATTGCTCAGAGTTGACGGGACAGTGGACGAAGTCAAGCGCAACACCGAGGAGGAAAAGTCGGGGATTCAAAAGAGGTGGACGAACTTTCACCTCGCTAAGATTGACGGAGAAGCTCGCCTGGCAACAAGTTCTCGAATTTCTGGATGCAGAATCAAAAGGGTGCCCATTCTGCGTTGCTCAACGTTTTGTTGGATCGCAACCAACCCAAATATTCAGCCCGATTTTGGCACATTTCCTCTGCAACTGTTTTCAGCTGGGGAGGGCGGAGGGTTCTTTGATGTTTCTATTACACAGAAGAGAAGGCATTTGACCTTTGATCTTGAAGTTGCGCCCGACTTCACCTGATCGCACAGCTGCATTTATCTGTCGTTTATCTATCGACACGTATGGTTTTGGACCATCTGTAAATAAAGAAGGGAATTTTCTTTTCCGTCTGGGGTTTCTGTCGCAGACGAAACCCTCAATCACATGACACCTGCTTATTGATGCAGCAGAAAAATGACGATCCACCCCGAGACAATCGCTCGGTTGTGCCGCAGCTGCTGCAAGTTCCCATGAAAGAGGACGAACGCTGTCAGGACGAATCATGAAGTTTGTCTTGTTGTTTGGTTTTTTCCCCCTGTTTGAATTAAATCATACAGTATTTCCAAACAACTTTTAAGAAGCTGGCTCCATGTTGCGCACTCTAAATAATCACCTGCAGTTGTGATTTTCTGCATTTGCAGCTGGATATTTATGGTTGTATGTCATAAATTGAAATATACGTCCTAGTAATATGTTGAAAATAACCTGGAAGCAGGAATTAAACATGCTTTACTTTCAAATTTCCGTTTTTAAAAAGAGTTTTTTTTATTTGTCTGATGTAATATATTCATTTTATATTTTTTTTTTGTCAATGTTTTTTTTGAGGGGGCAAAAAACCATTATTTTGGGAAGGTGATGATGTACCAATGGGTAAATGTCTTGTGTTTTGTTTGTTTGTTCTGCTTTTTTAGATAGAATAGAATGTACACACTTGAAAACATCATCCTTAGTTTTGCAGCTGGATGCAAACAGAGTAAAACTCTCGGCTCCTCCAGGCTCCCAAGCAACTGAGCATTAAGTCTCAGGCTCTGTCCCCAACCGAACCATCTGCCTCATCAGGTTGGGTGAGTTTCCGATTAAAACGCATAACTGAAAAAAATTGAGAAAATGACATTAATGAATAAATAAAAATAACAATCTAGGCTCTTTGATCCCACCGGAGTGCAGGAGGGGTCTCACTTTCCTTCCCCTCCGAAGAGGTTCAGGGTGCTCCTTCACACACACGACCGGGTTTCACCTTTGACCTGAATGCTGCGCAGCATTCTCCACATCTCAGCCTCCCTCTCTCTCTCTCTCTCTCTCTCTCTCTCTCTCTCTCCCTCTCTCCGTTTATCTTTGTGGAAGCGCTGCGGTTCAGCTCCACTCACTGGAATCCCATGTTGGAGTCATTCACTCGTTCCAGTGCGGTGAGTACACCGAATACTTTCTCTTTTTTCATTTGCTTTTCTCACTGCAATTTGTTTGACGTGCTGCTGTCACGTACAGTTTACACTATCACTACAATCGCTCCTGGTAATCGCCAGCTGTCATTTATTGCACAGCAAGAATCCAGCAGGTGCGATCTGACGTTTTATGGCCCACAAACGATCCATCCATTGGCGCTTAAGAGCGCGTGCCGACCTCATGATAATAATGCAGTTGGAGTTTTCTTTTCGTCTCGTTGTTGTTGTTGGCATTCAGCTGAGTTTGAACTTCTCCTCCAAACATCCACAGTTTTGGCCAAAAGCGCAGCGATTGCAGTTCCTCCCGTCTGAACCTCTCTGTTGACCTCGTGTGGGTTTTTGAGGAAAAGCGTCTCCGTGGGTCGACATTTTTGTTCCACGCTGTAAAAAAAAAAAAAGATAAATATCAATCCGCTGTGACCGCCGATGTTCTCGGAAGCATTGCTGCAACAAAGTTCTTTTTTTTTTTTTACGGCGGTCACGCAAGTTTATGTGTTTTCTTAGCGACGAGTCGAAGTGAAATATTTAACTAGGTCGTATAAACATCAGATATCTTAACGAGCATCATAACAGGAAAACTTTAAGAGCAAATGTTTGGACGTGGATGCAGCTGCTAAAAAAATAAAGATGAATTTAACATCAAGCAGAGCGGTGTGAGTGAAACTTCAACCAACAAAACGGAAAATATAGATGAACAAAAAAATTATTTTTGTGTGTGTGTGTGTGTAATATTTTTGATATTTAATGAGCTACAGATTTTATTTTTTGTGTGTACTGTTGAGCAAGTAAAAGATATATATATATGAACTAATTTAGCACTTTTAATTTCATGGCTTTTGTATTCTGTTGGTAACTTAAATTTGGGCAAAAAGTTTGGACACCACTGATGTAGAGGGAAGATAAGGTGCAATATTAGCATGGAACGTGGTGGTGGCAGCATGATGCTGAGGGAATTTATTTCTTCAGCTGGGAGGAGGAAGATTTCTGGGATTCGATCCAGGGGCAAAAGCTGGATGAAAACCTCCCAGAAGCTGCAAACGTCTTTGGGTTCAAATGGACCAGTCAAAGTCCAGATCTAAATCCAGTTGAAAATCGTTGGGAAGCATAATTATTGTTGTTTGTAGACACTCTCCAGCCGGTCTCACTGAGATTGAAGTGTTTCACTGAAAGGAGAGAGGAAACATTTCAGACCAAACCAAACCATAAGTTAACTGTGCAATAAGGCACCAGATTGAAAAAGTTTTTATTTTTCAATCCGGTTCCTTCCCCTTCACAACAGTGCACTCCTTTATGATTTTCTGTCAGAAAAAGAAAGAAAAAGATGATACGAAAATATGTTCGACAATGTCGGAAAAGTCCAGAGTGTTAAAAAAAATATCCATAGTATTCAAATCAAGTTCTGGTGAAGAAGATCGACTTTCGTTAACCTAGAAAAAGTGAGACACTTCGAAAACTGGAAGTTTTACTCTAAGAGGAAGTTAAGAGGATGCCAAACTGAGTCATTATTTTCTTTTGTGGCTGCTGTTACTCTTTGCCAAATTATGCATCTGGTTTTGGGAGGGTACATTTTTTAAATCTTTGGTTGGTTGCCAAGCAGCTGCCAGGGTTTATCTGCAACCTCTGCACCACCACAGGACTTTGAACTTTTAGTTTAATTTTTACCTTCAAAGTAATGATACGCCAGCAGATTAAAACCTGATCTAATGAAGGGTAAGCATCAGAAAGGGCGATTTCTGAAACACTTGTGAAAATGTTGGTGAAATTTGACTCCAGTTTTGGTGCAAACTCTTTTTGAGCGGCTGAAAACCTACAGTCACGTTTAAGTACACTGCAAAAACATAAAGTCTTACCAAGTATTTTCGTTTACTTTCTGGTTTGAGAGAGTTATAGGAGCTGGTTGTAAGTCAGTGGTTCCCAAAGTTTGTGGCGCGCCCCATAGGGACGGTGAACGCAGCGTGAATGAATGGAGAAAAAATAAATACAGTTACACAAAAGTGTTTCAGTGTAAAGATGGTTTGTAGTTTGTTTTGTTGCAACCTAATAAACTTCAGTGGAGTTTGAAAACAAAATAAGTGTTTTATGTCTGGTTGAACGATGTGTGTGCCCGGTTGATTTTTATTTTTTGGGAGGGATTTTATTGTAATCCATAGGGGGGACCCAGGAAATCTTTGGGAACCACTGCTTTAAGTCAATAATTCTGTAATACTGATTAAAAAATTCCTCTGGCAGATTTTTTTTTCACTTATGGATCAAATGTGTTTTTAGAAGTGAAATAGATCTTGATATTGATGAATACATTTTCATCATTATCAAGGAATTGCTGACCTTAAAACCAGATCCTACATCTGGCAGAAAAGTTGCTTTTAAGTTAGTTTTGTCTTACTAAAGGCATTTTGGTCCAGTTTCTTGTCGTCTAGAAATTAGACGAAAAGACTTGGTCGGCTTTATGTGTTTTTGCAGTGCATGTTAAGACTTCATCAATAAGACCCCTGAATAAAATAAAGACATAGAAAAAGCAGAGGAAACTCAGTATTTAAACCACCTTGATACTTACAAGTAATTTAAACATTCTATTTGTTTTTAATACTAATGTTTTCCCTGGAATAAATCTTTCTGTTTTTTGCCCTAATAAGTTGCATAAATAATTATCAGACAGCCAGAAACATAGCAAGAGGAAACACTCGCAAGGGAAAGAAAATGCATTGTTTGATTGTTGTATCAGGTTCATGGTCCGTATTAAGTTTCTTCTTCTTTGGAAAATCCAACTGAAGGAAATTAAAAGTGTTCAGAGGTTTACTACTCCTACTGAACTGGTTAAAAGATTAACATTTGCCTTTTGCTGTCTTACTTAATTTTCACACTTTAAACCAATAAACCGAGCAGTATTAACAAGACGAGTCGTGATTTCTGCTAGTCAGATGGAAAAACCAGCGACTTTTGAAGAAATTTAACTTTTAGCTTTTTAGCTTAGCTTCCAATTGACTCTTTTCAATCGAAGAGCGTTATTGTGAAGAACGTTCATCGTCTTTCAATAGTAAGAGTCCAGATGTCAGAGTAAACGAGTAAATTGGTCTTTATCACATTGTGAAATTGTTTGAATTAAACCGGAAAACACAGCAGATCGCTCATTGGCGTCAGCCTGTCAAGCAATAGTGATCATAACATTGGAAAAATTGGAATAAATCTGCTAAGTGCAAAGTAAATGATTTTGGAAAAACTAGGATGAGGTTGTTTTTTATTTTGGCTGTATCAAAAGATATTTTTAATGATTTATCACGTGTGCGAACTTATTGACGTGTGATTGTAATTACGTTTCTTATTTAACGGAAACACTGCAATTCTGAAATTGTGTTTTCTCAATGTCTTTATGCTGACATGTCCTTTCCTCTTCCTCCAGTTGTTGAAGCCGTTCGATGATGTTCTCTGTTTGGATAAGTTTGAGTCTGTTGTACCTCATACAACACACCGTTTCATCAGATGACGGTAATATGCTTTATTTTATTTCTGATGCTTTTTAGAGTTTAACAAGAATACTTCATCTAAACGGAGTGGTAATAATAATAATAGAATTAATTGATTCTCTCATTTTGCTGTTTGTCTTTGTTTAGCGGTGTCACTGATTTGCCCCAAGACAGTTTCAGTCATATCCGGCAAAAAGGTTGTGCAAAACTGTTCAATAGAATTTAAAAATGAAAGTGGCTGTGAGGTTGAAGACTCCGAATTGAGTCACTCAAATGGCACCACTAAATGTGGAAACGACTCAGAACCATACAGCTGTGCCTGGGATGCAAACTCCACTGTGACCGTGACGATCGTTGGCGTAAAAGAGGACAATATCAGAGTTGAGATCCTTACAAAATGTGGTATGGCTTCTGATGATATCCACGTGCACATCAACTTTGACTTCGGTGAGTTACTTTCGGCATCTAGAAGTCTGTTTTTTGTTCAGACATGAAGTTGTATTAAAAATAAATGTATTCACTTCTATATATGACAGAGCCACATGCATGGCGTACGAAGTCAATGGAAGAGGAAAGCACACTCATCATACTGAGTGTTCTTGTTACAGTCATCGTTGTGGCAGTCGTTGTGGCCATTTTGTCTTGCCTTATTAAAAAGTTAACTTCGAAAAAGAACCAAGAACACACCATGGTGAGCCAGCAGGACCCTGTCTGAAATCTCCATAAGAAAAGAAAGTTTTCGTCACTTCTTTCTGACAGAACTCTTTTGGACCGACATTGGTCAGATGGTGTCTTGTCCACTGAAACCGGGACCATCGACTCTTTGTGAGTGAACTGCTAAAGCTGCTGCTTTGTGCACATACTGTATATTGTGTACATATTCGTGTGTACACTCTTTGTCCGTAGAACAATTGAGTGCCTCTTGGCTGCTATGACCAAATGTAACACAGTTCAGTTTTAATGTTTTGTACATGCATTTGTTGAAAATGAAAGGTATTCCTCATTGTACTCCTTTTATTATAAATTTATCAACTTCCTTTCAACAAGGGCCATTTTCTTGACACCCAAGCGATACGAAGGATGCAATAATGGACAAACATCAGTTTGCATTCCATTTTTATGGTAACCAGTGTTGGGTTAAATAATTAACTGGTTCCTGGAAGAAATGGCTAAAATTTGTAGAGATGGGAGCTTTGATTAGACTAAAACCTTCAGGATGTGTCTCTATCAATGAGACATTCAAGACACTCACACGTCTTTGTCCTTGTTTACCTCAAACAAACCGGTATGGGAAAACTCACATTAACAATAACATAAATCACTGCACTCTTTTTTTTACAACACATCTATTAAGTGCTGTTTCTAACGGCATTCAAGCAATTCTGTTTACACTGTGTTTTTGTGAATGACATCGTGACCGGTGCGTATATTTCCAAAGACATTATTTTCAACGAGTTCTCATAAACGAACAAGATGTCGAATATTGATGAACTGTGGACATGAATGGGTTCATTTCAACCTGAGGAAACTTAATTCAGAACCAGAACTTTATACGGATGAACTGGGAACAAACTCAGCACAGCAATGACACAGACATCATTTATTTCAGCAGTCTGAATTTGACATTATAACACATCTAGTTGAGAAAGCAGCGGAAATTGCTCACTGTGCTGCTGAAGGCTGACCAATATGCAATACACACCAATATCAATGTATTTCTGTATGTGTGTTTTTTTTTATGTAATTAAACAATAATGTTGTTGCTTTGTATACAAAATCACTCAAATTATGATCAATTTGTAAAAAATAAAATAAAATTTGAAATGGAAATAAACAGTTTTGATAACTTTTCCTGTCCAGCAGCCATATTGTTTTGTTTTTATTATCATTTGAGCAGAGTTTCCAAAGTAAGAAATCATTCATCCTTCGGCTTTTAACAAGAAAAGTTTGAGGTGATTGCCAGTAAAGCTTGACTCCCTCCAATCTGTGTCAGATCGCTATCCCAAGAGGAATCCAAACAACAAACGGCTAATCTCAGCATCTCACTACTCACAACTTCGTTTCGTTTCACTTTTTCCTCAGAGGTTTATGTTTCGAAAGAGCTCCAAATTCAGAAGTAAACAGGGGAAAACAATTCATTGATTGACTTTAAAACAAAACCACACCAGCTGATACAAATACCTCCCTCTTAAAAGTAATGCCTCTCTTTTGATTGGGTAAAAAAAAAAAAAAAAAAAACCTTGGTATTTTATTCTATGTTGCATGCCTTTGTGTTTTGTGTTTATGATGTAAAGCACTTTGAAATGCCTTGTAGCTGAAATGTGCTATACAAATAAAATTTGATTGATTGATTGATAGGTAAGGAAACAGAAATGTGCTCAGCTAAACTAATTGTAACTCAGTGGTTTTGAAATTCAAGCAATCGCTTTATTTTTTATATTTCTCAATTTTTAAGTCAGCTGGTCGTTCAAAGACGGTCGGCACATCTGTCGCAAAGCCGAGAATCAGTTTCACAAACAAGACATCACGCAGCAGCAATATGATTTATGAAGGCACAAGTCAGGGCAGGTATCATGTGGCACCCAAGATGAGGTGTGACATCCTCACATGCCATCATGCAGGAAAAGCACATTTTTACGAGCTTTATTGCATCTAAACTTGGCAGCGTAACTCCTTTGGTTTTATAAAGGCCGTTTGTCCCAATCGGGACATTTAAACGATGGAAAAAAAGGCAAAACGAGTCAGTTTACATAAATACCAGAGTCAACCACAACATTCCTTCAAGCATTAAATTGTTCTCTAAAATGCGGCGTTCGTTTTTTTGCCTGTTGTAACAAGAGTCGAACATCTTTCAGTTCACCAATCAGTTGCGTTTACCTCTGACCTCCCGAATGGATGTCACTTTCTGTCGCTGATTCATGAACCCTGACCTTGACTTAACATTTAGAGGGTGTTGTTGGCTGTTTCTTTACCTCATATGTACATAAAGCAGAAGCAGACCCCCGTCCCCTCACCCTGGGGGGGACTCAGTTGTCATCTCTAGTAGACATCGCAGCGGAAACGAGTGCATACCAACAATTTCCACTGAATGACGGTCTTGTCATTCAGTGGAAATTGTGGATATGCATGGCAGAGCAAGGAAAAGAAGTAGGCGAAACAACAACAATTATTATCATCTGGCAACCAGCAAATGAAGAGAAGCAGGTAGCAATTTGTAAATGAGGCCAGGCGTGACAAACCTGCACGGAGTCATCGAGAAAGACACGTTTCACAGAAGCCTTTGCATTTTGAAGCAGGATGTGGAATAATCTGGAATGATGAATGATAGATTATAACAACTCAACTCAGGCACTACTTAAACATACATAAAAACAAAACGAACCAGAACGTAAAACCACAGGTGTTGTCACGCTAACAGGCCCGCTAAGGTATAGCAAGCTAATTTTCCAATCTAATTCATTATCTACGGGGAGGAAGTGTCATTCCTTTTACATATCTAGAAGACACATAGCCAACCCGAGACCTGTTCTACCGGACCTCTCTTCAGGTCAAAGGTCATCTTCTTTTTTGATAAACATTACATGCAAATATTATTTTGTTTCCCCCCTCTTTCTTTCCTCTGCCTCTGAAGGATGAGTCTATTTTTTCGGCATTTATTTTGTTAATTTGTCTTCCTCTGACGCTTTGGAGGTTTGGATATTTGACATACCACCAGGGGGCGCCAAGAGCAATTTCTTCTTTCTTTCGGCACGTAGAAATGTGTGCAGAGACTTTAGATGCAAGCTGATATAATCTGACACTGGAACATCGGATCTGTTTCAGATATCAGCCCTAACAAACTGATGTGTTTTGTATTATATTACCGCCTCAGTCAGTGTAGTTCTTCACCAGGCTATCATTTCTGTTGGAACATTGCTACAAATAAAGCAAAAGTCTCCTACTCATTCTTCAAATCTGGATCATTTAAAGGGAGAGAAAGAATCCATCATTCAGTCTGACTTGTTGGATCATGAGACTACTTTATCTACACATACCATTTGTTTGAACTCTCCTGCGGTCTTAAAAGACTTTTTATTTACGTCGGCGGAACAAGTCAGTGTTGGGTTGTTGACCGGGCCTTTGTATGTATATTTTCATCAGGTTCTTTTTAGAAGGGATACAGGAAAAGGGAAGATTATGTGGACAAAGAGTAATGATTATACAAGTTAAACTCCTGTTCAGACTCACAGTCACTAAAAAGGTGTTGTGTTTACATGTGTTTGAGCCTGTATTTTTGGTAGCAAGGTGTTGTTACCAAATAATTTATGATTTATATTTTAATAAAATATAAAAGTCTTTATTATTATGTTCTGTTGGTGAAAAGCCAACAGAAACATATATTTTATGTCTGTTTTTGGGTCCCATATTAAATCCTCCCATTTGACCCCATGTTAAATCCACCTGTCGTTCCATACAAACCAAGTGGAGACCTTTACTCTGTAATGCAATTCAAGGTCCCCTCTAAGCTGCTAAGAACGACGAAGCAGCAGCATTTGAATAGCTGAAGGCAGATCACATTGAGAGACGAAAAATTATAATTCAAAATATATCATTTTTGTTAGTACTGCAGACATTGTTGTTAATTCATTTCGAATGGCATTCAACATATCATTCATTGTCAAATGTGGTCATAATTTCTGTTTTTGGGTAATATTTGTGTTGCAAAGAATTTATTAAATAATATCGCTCAAGTTAAATCATCAATTTCTTAAAAGAGTTCAAGTGATTCAGTGTAGTAGGCAAACACTCTTTAGGTCACAAATGGGTACAGGAAGTTCTATTGCAGCATCTAAAGGTCCCCACTTTGACATGCAGACGTCGCTCTGAGATCCAGGTCCCTGCTTGGCAATTTATTTAAAAAATGATCAGTAGTCAAATTTTCAGTTGTGTTATAGTGATAGAGCTTTAAAGGGATTTTTATTTTTGCTTTTTCAACAAGCTGGAAACAGGATAGCAGGTTTAGGCTGACAGACACCTTTTGGTAGGTGTGTGTGTGTGTGTGTGTGTGTGTGTGTGTGTGTGTGTGTGTGTGTGTGTGTGTGTGTGTGTGTGTGTGTGTGTGTGTGTGTGTGTGTGTGTGTGTGCGTGTGTGTGCGTGTGTGTGTGTGGTTTTTGTTTTGAATAGGCTTCCTTTTCTGGCCTCTTGAAGTTTCAGAAGTTTTTAACATTTTTTATTTATTTATTCTTTTAACCCTCTTCAGGCAGGTGTTGCAGATTTACAACTTAGCCAGTCTTTGCAAGTAATTTGAGCCTGAGAGGGTTAAAAAGCTTGAACTCGTCGACATTAGTTTCCGAAATCAGTGATTTTTTTTTTTTTTTTTTTTTTGGTTTGTTTTTTCTTTCAGGACATTCTGAGTGTGTTTATCCATTTGAGCGACGGAACATGAAATAACAAAGTCGACAGAAACAAACAGCCTTTCAGGCCCTTTGATCGGCTGCAGCGCAGCATAAACACTCCCACACGCTCCAGTCATATCCTCCGCCGGCCACAAATGAGGCGTTCGAGTGACAGTCGTCTCAGAGCTCCTCGCGGCGTGTCTCAGGCGTCCCCCACCACCACCACCCTGTGCGTGTGGCGGCTTGCCTGCAGCGCCTCTGTTGCGGGATGAACGCCAAGTGGTGGAGCTGCGTGCTGGCGCTGCTCTGCATGCCTGCCGAGGTGACGCTGATCTCCGGGACAGGTGAGTTTGTTTACGCTCGAGTGAAGTGGGAAGCAAAAGCCGTTTGGTTGGGGGAATGTGAAGAAAGTTGAAAGGCTCGGATTGCTGTTTGCAGCTGTTGCATGCTGCTTAGCTCAATGATGAAACAGTTTGTTTGTTTGTTTGTTTGTTTGTTTTTATCAACGTGCACCTGCAGGTTAAGCTGCTCTTTCTGGATTATGTTGCATTTGTGCATTGCCTTGGGGTTTGCTGTAATATTCAATTGAGATCCTCTGAACGGCCAACAGTTATGCACGAATGTGACGTGGAAGAAAATGATGCATGTTTGTTTTTGACAGGTACAAAATTTGTATTCAGTTCACCTTACTTTGATAGCCATAAAAAAAATGCAAAAAAATGAGAGCAACCACTTTGTCTTGAAAAGTTACAAAACAATAAAGCTCAATTTGAAACGTCTAGTCAAGGCAACTCTGGAGGACCTGCAGAGATCCGCAGCTCATTTAGTAGGATCTGATTAGATGAAAACTGTTTTGTGGATCAAATGTGGGCTTTATAAAATATATATATATATATATTATTATTAATTATATATATATATATAAGACGTTTAATTTTTGCAACAAGTCGTGCAGGGGACGTCACAAACATTTGGAAACAGGCGTTCTGGGTCATGAAACATCTCATTTGAACTTTTTTTCTTTTGGGGCGAAAAAAAAACAAAAAACTATCTACGCATCATTTCTCAAGACGTGACACTGACAGCAGAACCACAACCATAAATAAACAACCGGAGCTACAACATAGGCCAGAAGTCACTGCAAGACATGAATATTGACATTTATAGATGCTGTTTTTGCAGTTTCTGTTTATGCAGAGCATTAAGAGTCCAACCCCAAAAGACTTGCTCTACAAGTACTGACCCAGAGGGACTGTATGCAAACGCACAGCACATTTTTATTTGTCATTTGTCTTTTTAAGATCATTTCTAAGATCTTTTGCAAGGCAGCGTATTTGCTTCTCCCTATTTTTTTGTGTTTTTTTTAACAGATCTAATTACAATTTCAGTTTGTAATGGCTGAAATTGTTAGAAGCATGAAATGTTATAACATTGTTACATTGAGTGGGCCTGTCACAATAATCAACGAATCACATGATAAATTCAAAACAAGCGCAATAATTTTGTGATTTATTATTTTCCTCTTTTATTCTCTTTCTGCCAAAAACTGGATGATAAAAGTTTTCAGTTTGGTGTTTTGGTTTCATCTATTCCCTTTTTTATTTTTTGAAGGACAATTTTGTTGTTTCGATGTTTGATGACCTTGTCTTCGTCTCTAACGGTCCGTCGCTTTCTCTCTGGCAGCTTCCCAAAGCCCATTGTTCATTTCCAATGTGTGGATCAATTCGTCATTTGAGATCAAATGCGCCACATTCCTACCACACCCAATCGGCCTCTCTCTGAATAGGCGCTTCCTTGGAAATGAGCAAATTCTGTACCTCCACTTTTCCGATGGAGTTGTTACCAAGAACACTATACTTGATAAATTTCAAAACAGAATTAGCATAACCAAAGAGCATCAGGATTCAGGAGCCAACTATCAGTTTAAGCTCAAGCTGTCCCGTCTGGAGCTGGAAGACACAGACTTGTATTACTGCAGCTGGACCTACTTAGACGAACAGTACAATAACTGTGACTTGAAGAGCAATGGGAGCATCGTCATTGTCAGAGGTGAGAGGAAATGTGCTGGTGACTCACATCAGACGAATTGCAGCGTTACACGTTATTCTTTAAGCCCTTTGAGCTGCCATGTCGTTGAAATGTGGGACGCAAAGAAACTTGGCTTTAAATGTCCGACTTATTTCCTCACAGAGGCCAGGCCCGTTAAAGAATGCAGCGTCCCCACCGTGGATATGACCCTGATCTACCTGAGCATCGCGGCTGCAATCGGCGTGTTCCTGACGATCGTCGGCCTGTTTGTGAGGTGCAGGAGGGTACGTGCGACCTGCACCAGATGAGAGTTTGAAACCGTGTGCGGATTAATCAGCCCATTTTCGTCCTCAAACAGCTCAAGAAGAACTTCCAGCCTTTCAGAGGTTACGCCCCTCCCTTGCCGCCGAGACCCTCACGGCCTCCGCAGACCTCCAGACCCAACCAGCCTCGGAACATCTACACGCACCAGCAGCAGACCGCCGATCACCGCCCCTATATGATGGCGTCCACAAAAACCTACGGCAATTTTGGCAACCTGTGATGCTAAGCGCCGATGCCAACTGATGATAAAATCTCATTTTTGCAGTGAGGGCATCTGAAAAGCACTCTGGCTGTAAATAGCTAGTGGAACTGGTTAGCTGTATGCAGTGCCTTTCACTTCCTTGACATCTAATTTACCCTTTTTGTCTGCAGAAATGTGTCTCAGCTACCACATCCTGAAAGAAGCGAGAATGTATAGGTGTGAGTGACAGTGCGAGCTTTGTTTGTGATGGAAAATTGCAAAGTTAGCTTTGTTTCCATTTCTGCTTGCTGTGCAGGTTTCCTTGACCCATGAAGGCTTCAAATGAACTTCAGACTCTCATGCAATTATTTTTCTCCCTTGTATATAATGTGTACTTTTGCCTGTTTTAATATTACAATAAATGAAAAATGTTCAAAAGCACACTTTTGTCTCGGAGGCTCGTGGAGTCCATGCTTTTTAAGTTTCACCACACATCTGTGCTCTGATCAGGTTTACTGTAAACATCATTCAACAGTCTGCTTTGGGGGGAAATTTTTAGTGATGCTGAAACTGATTTAGAGAGAAGCAAGCATCCACTGGAGGAGACTATGATCAAGAATGGAAATTATGCCTCGTTTTAATAACAAAAATTTGAAAAAAACATGGAGTTCTGCCTTAGATGACAGAGAGCGTTAATAAGAGAGCAAAAAGGAAACTCATGTTCATATGTTAGGACGGCCCAGTCAAAGTCCAGATCAAAATCAAATTGCGAATCTGTCGCGAGCTCTAAAAATTAAACAAAGGGGCAAACTTTCACTTTTGTGTTGGACTGTCACATAAAATTTGAAATAAACACACTGAGATTTGTGGTTGGGTTGTGAAAAAAAAAGTGAGAAAAAGTTTACAGATTTTAAAACTTTGACACCACATGGATGAATTAATCTTCCCTAAATCTGCTGAGCTGTGGCCGATAAAATCCTGTCTTTCTGAATCAAAATACTAAAATTAGCACTACTTCCATCTTTATCAGTGAATTCCATTCCTACTGGGAGTTTGGGATTTGACTCAGTAAATCAACTAAAAGGTTTGCTGAAATTAATACTCAGATGAATACCTAGAATTGTTGCTATTAGTTTAAAAGTCGCAACCCACAACTTTAAAATCAAACATGGCTGCCATGTATACTTGGTGAAGTTCTGGTGAAAATACTGAGTGATTTGTACCCCATTAAACCAGCTCCACTGCACCATGTGGAGTTGTGTTTACATGCAGAGTAATATACTGTCATTATCTTGTAACAGTTGTGAGCCAGGTGTCATTACTTCAAATAGAATACCTGGGAGGTTTCCTATATTAACAAGCTGAGTGAAAAGGAGCTAATGCTTGTTTGAAGTTTTAACATTTGCCAAAGAGGATGGGACATTGGCGAGGAGCTCAAGCAAATAAATTCTCTTCTTAAAAGGACACGTTTTAATTAGTGTAATAATCGATTTGGACAGGTTAATTAGATATCCTACCCGCTCACTCAGGCGCTATTAGCTAAAAAAAAAAAAGAAAAGAAAGAACTTAGCTAATAAAAGCACGAGCTAATTGTGCGGAACTTTTGCGGTAAAATGGTTTCCGCGGACTGTTATTGCTGCAGCACAACGTGCAGCCTCAGAATCAAACCGTATTCATGAATTGCTTTAAAGTTTAAAAGTGTGAAGAAAATAAGGGTGAATGTGAAGCTGAGCACAAAGCCGGGCTAGCTTTTAGCTTCAGCTAAAACGCCGAAGGACAGGCAGCCTGTCAGGGTGAAGACAGACGGTCCCCACCTTGGCTTTTGATCCCCTGTCCCGCCGTCCAAAGCTCGGGCAGGGCAGCCAGGGGCAGCTATGAAGGGCTGGTGAGCAGAAGCCGCACAGCACTCGGGATACAACCCGCTTTTCAGGTCGGTTTTAGGAGGCTGGTCCGCACAGAAGAGCTAAACATGAGGAACTGCAGGCGACTGCTGTCCGAGCTAAAGCTGTGGACGTCAGGAAGAAGTAAATGGACGAGAGGACTTAATGAAGGTGAGACACTGGCGACGCCGCATGCACACCGACCCGTCTGGTTCAAATTGACAGTCTCAGTTACATTTTTGTTTTTGTGCAACTCGGTTCATTCCAGTTCAGGTATGACTCATGAAAACCGCATTACCTGTCACGAAACAGCTTCATAGTAAGCGGTGAAGTGAGACAGACTTCATCGTTGAGATCCAACTGTGCCAGAATAATGAGAGAAAAGTTCACATTAATAACTAATTTAGTAAATATGAAAGAAATAAATACTTATCTGTTAGCTGGCTATATATTTAATGCACAATTACTTAATCCAGTGTTTAAATCGTTACGTTTAAATTCCATTTTATGCTAAAAACATACTTTTTATGTAGTTATCTAATATTTCACGTGCTGCAGTCCATGTAAACTTATTCGAACTGTAGTCAAAGTTATGAGATAGACACTGACATTTGATTGGGTGACCTGCGGGGCAACTCTGCTACAGACCAATCACATTCGGTGTTGGAGTGTTAGTCCCACCCACTGACTTTGATAGATGAAGTAATGAAATGTGTAATGTGTTAAAAAATACTGAACTATAAAATACATTAAACATGTGATGAGCTAATTTAATTTATAATTATGTAGTTAAATATTATATTTAATATCCACGCGGGAATATTTAAAGAAATATTGATAGTATCTTACTTTAATTTAATTGTATTTATGGAAGCTATTAATAATAAAATTGAAATTCAAAAACACTTCATTCATCCCAGTGGCAAATTAAATATATTTTTTAACTAATTTTAATTGTGTTATTTATCTAATGACTTTATTATGTATTGAATTGTGACACGTTTGACCTTCAACACGTCCTTTGTCGATTCAGTTGTTGTTTTTTTTTCGTTTTTGCAGGCCTCGGTGGGAGTGGAAAGGCTTTTTTGTCTACTTCTAGCTGTCCAAAGGTGTGTATCGTTGGGAGCGGTCCGGCAGGTTTTTACACGGCGCAGCATCTTATCAAGGTGTGTACTTCCCGTTCCGACGGCACATGGATAAACTTCTCTGATGCCTGTTCGAAGCGAACAGAACATGCCTGGCTTTCAGTCTTCTGCCATGTCAAGTCATGGACACACTCAGCTATTTGCACTACATTTTGCCAACATGTTCCTTTGGGGTTTGAGTGCATAAAAATGGAGAGAGATAAAGTTACAAGTGTCCACTATTTGAAGTTCACAAAAAAGGCAAGAGACAAAAAAATAATAAATAATTTTGGCAAATAATTGCAAACAACATTTAAGCTCAAACAGGCTGTTGATGAACTATTGGAGGCTCTTGAAATGTTAAATAGCAAGTGACCTTTTTTACCTCAATCTTTTAATGGGAGGAGGTGTTGTACCATTAATAGTACGGTGAAAAAAAAGGGTTCTATATTCGAACGAGGTCGCCAAGTTGACACAAGCCAAGTGTCGGGAAGCCAGTTCACTGCAACGTTTCTCTTCTTTCAGAAGACTCACAGAAGGCACTCTGGTTGTAACACTTGACTATAGATTAACACAACTCCAAAGAATTGCAGTAATCCAAATGAGATGTGACCGAGAGATGGATTAGTGCCTTAGGCTGATGTAATTGAAAGAAGGCCATTGATTTCCTAAGTGTCCCAGGCTCACCTTTACAGCTGAGCTGATCAAATCAAATGTAAGAGCAGGAGTTTTTCCCAAACAAGTGGTGACAGAAATTTGAAGGGCCAATAGCATTGCTGTATCAATTAAGAAGATTAGATTATTCCTCTTTTTTGCTTAGTCCCATTCTAACCCTTGCCCTAACCCTATGTTTTAGATGTCATATTAAATGCAGCAATGCCTAAAAAGCAGCATTGTTGTGGACTGGAACAAGCAGGTAAATCTGGATGTCATCAGCAAACGGTGTGATCCAGCGGTACAGTTCTTGACACCGAACACAAAGGGAGGCAGGCAGGTTTCTGGAAATACTGCACGATCCTCCAACTGCCTACCAAGCTTCCTCATGAACGTAAATCATAGATAAACGACTCATGACAGGAAGCTGTGTTTAAAGTGACCGGACTGGTAGTTTGTTCAAAAAAAGTGATAATGAAATCACTTTAAATCTGTGTCATGCCAGGAAACAGTAAGCACAGCAGATATGTCACGCCGGAAACAACTGTACTTTTCTGTTATCTTTTGAATGACAGATAAAAATATGTCAAACTGGAACAGGAAAGAGCCCTTCTGTTTTATGCTGTTGTGTTTTCAGTCACCGATGCATGCTGAAATTTCTTGAAGCCACTGGTAGCTTTTGAAGTATTTCAATATCTACTTTTGCTTTTACTGTGCCTCAGGGAAACATAACATTGGATCAAATTGTTTGACAGAAATCATTAGACAAGAAAACAACATCCAAACTTACAAAGAATTGCCCTTTACACTGTAGTTTTTTAAAATTTTATTTTTATCGCTTTGACTTTTCTTACGCATGCGTTTTCTCCAAATCGAGGTCTCAGTGAGTCAGAGAATGACAGACTGACAGTTTGTAAGAAATACAAACAGAACCAGCAAAGTAGGAGCCTAATTGCCCGGATGCACTTCGTTCAAGTTCAGTTGTGGCCTTTTAATCTGTCATAATGTTTTTCTTTTAATCTGTCATAATGTTTTTGTCTTCTTTATCATCTGATCTTTAAAGTTTCCAAAGCTTAGTTTTTCTTTCTTTTTTTTAATGTACCCGTAGTAGAGGCAAAACAAGCCTCCAGCTAACCCGGCAAGATTCCTATTTGTTATTTCTTGCAGTTCTGTTCCGGACTATTAAGACAGGAAAATAATCCCCAAACTGTACCACTGAAAAAAAACTGTGAAATATCGTAAAAATACCAAACTCTTGCTGGATATTTAAAGTTAACATAAAATACGAAACGGGAGATGATCGGAGTGAAAAGCTGGGGATATTTTGCTGATGAGAAATGCTCTGTGTTTTTCTACCATGGAGCTCCGCTTGTAGTTCAAGGTCCAAACAAGAAGACCTCCAGGGTAGATTTTTACCTTCTTTTTTTTTGTCTGCTATTTGTCCTGGTTCTTAGAGTGGGAAAATATGTTGGTGCACAAAGTTCTGTAAAACTACCGTAGTCGCTGTTGTTAAAACACGACATTAATTTGTACAAATCAACTTTGAGGATAATTTTCAAAAGCCACTGTATTTTCTTTAAGGTGATTTTCCTCCGTTTTGACTTGTAAAACAGATCACACCTGTGGACATTTACCCCAGGAAACGGGACTGGTTGTCATCTCAGTTTCATCTGTGTTACGGTTCATGTTTGATGTTGATTTTACACTGAGCAACAATTCAAACATTCATTCTGTTCTAATGGATCACAGAAAAAAAACTCTCAAAGTCACTTTTCAAAGTTTCACGAGACGCTATTATGAAAGCTTTATTTTGAAAGCTTTATTTTGAAAGCTGTGTTTCATTCAGAAACCTTTGAGCACTGTGACACTTCATTTATGAACAGACGATATCTGCAACAAGTGATTTCTCCTGTTTGCCGTTTTTTTTCCCCCCGTCTCAGGCCCGTCAGGATGTCGAGGTGGACATCTACGAGCGACTGCCCGTCCCCTTTGGCCTGGTCAGGTTTGGAGTGGCCCCTGATCATCCTGAAGTCAAGGTCTCTGCTTCCACTGACATCTTTATCACACAGCAAAGCGTCTCTTCAAGTGTTTTTTTCAAAATATCAAAGAAACTCAAAGAAGCAGCCCAGGGGATCATGGTAACTCTGGAGGGGTTGCAGAAAGCCACCGCTCAGTTTAACAGAAACAACCACAAAAAAAAAAAAAGAGTTCAATACACATGATAAATAGGAAATGCAAAGATTGTCGATCAGTTGTTGACTCTGAATTAATATCCAGAGTCACCATCTTCAGTCTTTGGCACAGTCTAGTTCCTGGAATTTTAACCTAATTGTTTTCTGCAACCTTCAAAGCTGATTTTTTTTTTTTTTTTTTTAATCAGCTCTTCTGTCACAATGAGCCAAACAGGAACTGCAGACAGTTGCTTCACTGGAATTTTGAGAGCGTGTTGTCCCTCCCGTCAAAGTTTTTACAGTGGCGCTAATGCTGTGTTTTTGCAGACAGTGTGGGTTGCTGAGTGATGTCTTAATTGCAAAGAGCTTTATTATCTTGTGGAAAACTTCCTTTAACACAATGATATAACACAACTTTGATTTATTACAGCACTGTGTGGTGTATTTTTGCCCTGACATATCATACGCCCATTTAAAATCCCTTGTCAATAACTCATTATAAAACCAACTGGTTACAAATTTGCACTTATATAAATTATTATTCATGTATTTTAGGAAGTATCAAATGTTATTCTGTTGAATATATGTATCTTTTCTTTTTGTCCTCCAGAATGTCATCAATACTTTTACTCAAACAGCCAAACATTCCCGCTGTAGTTTCTATGGCAATGTCAACGTCGGGAAGGATGTGACCGTCGGCGAACTGCAGGGGGCGTACCACGCAATCGTACTGGTGAGAACACGACAGCCGTGGCCGGATCCTAAAACGAGAATTTGTGCTTTGACTTTCCTTTGCACGTATTTTCTGTCAGAGTTACGGGGCGGAGGGCAACAGGACGATGGGGGTGCCGGGCGAAGACCTGCCCGGCGTCTACTCCGCCAAAGACTTTGTGGGCTGGTACAACGGCCTGCCCAGCTGCCGAGAGGTTGGTAGAGAGGGGGGGAAAAAACTCATCTGTTCTTGTGTAAATCAAAGCAAAATGGGCTGATTTTATGTTTTTTATTCATTGCTCCTCCAGCTCAAACCGGACCTGAGTTGCGAAACAGCCGTCATTCTAGGACAAGGCAATGTGGCCTTGGATGTAGCTAGGATACTGCTCTCTCCTTTAGACATCTTAAAGGTGAGAAGGATTTCTCTCTTTATCAGTTTTGGATCTCTATCTTTTGGATCAGGGTTTTATGATTGTGAGAAGCTCTCATAGTTGTGGTGTAGTTTTCTTCTGAAGAGAAGAATACCTTTGCTCCCCTCAAAACTGTTTTTTTTCTTCTTCTCCTAAAAAGCTAGGCAACAATTGCCCTTTTGGGGGTATTATAGATGGCTGACTGACCTTTAAGGAAAGTAGCGCTATCTGATACCGAAGCTTCACCTCATGATTTATTGTCGTCCAGAAAACGGACATAACCCAGCCAGCCCTGGAAGCCCTCGCCGAGAGTCGGGTTCGGAAGGTGCTCATAGTCGGCAGGAGGGGACCCATGCAGGTCGCATGCACAATCAAGGTTCGTATCACGGAACAGAGGAAAACAAGCTGAGCCTTTTATCAAGAAGACACATCTGTCAAATGGGAAAACCACACTAACCCAAGTGTTTGACCTACTCTGCAGACGCCCGTTTCAGTCTGTTGCACACTTCCTGGTGAATGGTATCACCGTCTTGTGGATGAGCTGGTTTCTGCCTACTTTTAGCTGGCGTGACTCCAGAGTACCTCACAACACACAGGGTGTAGTGTTTGGCTGATGACACTGCTTAGCTGCCCAGGTTCTGTTGGAGGATAGTGGTGGTGACATGTTGGGTTTGGGTTCAACCAAACGCCGCTGTTCATTATGACCAAAACTTCCGACCTTTGCATAACTCGTCTAAACGTTGTCGCCTCATTTGTCGAGAAAAGTTTGGGTGGTTTGGACAAATCCCTGCGAATCGACAACATGCTGTCATAATTGTTTAGAAAAGAACAAGCTCTCAACTGCTAATCTTTCTGAAGGCATGTATTTCAATTCCTTTATAATTCTACTTGATGAATCATAACATTTAACACACTAACTTAGGCCGAGAGGATGTCTAATAGAAATCTTTTTTTTTGTATTTTCTTGCAGTCTGAGACGGTCTTTCTCTGAGATTTGTGGCAATCTGCTTAGTCGTCCACATCTTCAAATTTTGCACTCAGTTTCCGCTTACAAATAAGGTTTCCTGTTGTAAAATGATGGACTTTCCCAATACTGTGGACTCCTGGTCTTCCCTGGAGTTTATGGACCTGTAGCCGTCCATAAACTAGGCAGCAAACACATCTTGCTGCCTATTTTAATAACTCAACCACCAATTACACCTTAATACACACAGTGGAACAAGTCTTAACGCTACACCAGAAGCTAACATAAACGCTCTTTGCTGTTTCCGATCTTTGAGTTGCCTCCAGTCAACGGCAAGGAAATTGAATGACACTTCTTGGTTGGCCACTTTACAAACAGGCAGCCAATAGCGTGTCAAGTGGCATAGCGCCCAGCTAGTTCAACTTGACAAATAAGCTGGAATGCCAAGCTGTTCGTCATATGCTGGAAGGAAAAATCCAAAATGAGGTGGATTTTCTATGAATAATATGGAGTTAGGTTGCACAGAAAACTCCAAATACTGAACCGTAAATAAACGAGGATCTGCTGTAATCTTTTCCAGATTGATGAGAAGGAGACATATTGGTGATCTTCCCTACTTGGCATTGTGTTAACTTCAGTTTTTACATACACAGGTGCTAAATAAAACTTTTATTTAAAGACTCCTTCCTGTTTGCATTATTACTCCATTATGTGGAAGCTCTAAGTTAAAAAGTACTTTCTACGCATTGTGTTTCCATTTCTACTCGGTTTGAATTGAGTAAATGACATTGTCGTTGTCTTAGAAGTATGGATGTGGTGCTGACAAACGACGGTGAAATTTTAGCACTTCATCTTTTCTTCTTCTTAGCCAAGGTTTCCAAATGTCACCAATTAGCTTTGAGTCACCTTTTTCCAGCAGGTTCTGAAAGAAGTTTATTTTAAAGAGGGAAATCCAGAAAAAAGAAAACGCAGCCCCATCGTGGGAGACTTTTGGGTTTTGTTTGAAATCGTGTTGTTTTTGTTTAAAACTCCTGGTGTAGCTTTGCAAACCCGAGAGCTGCGGCTATCAGATTTCTTCATGTCATCTGCAGGAGCTCAGAGAAATGGTGAACCTGCCAGGAACCAGGCCCGAGATGGTGACAGCTGATTTTGACGGCGTCTCAGAAGCCCTTAAAGGTCAGAGGCCAATCAAAGCCTTGCATGACAGGTTTCCTTTGTTTTTTGTGTTTCTTTTTCTGTTTCAAAATAATTTCCCGGGACCACAACAGGTTGTTTTCTTGTTTTTTTTTGTACAAGTCTGACTCAAGATTTACGGATTGTGCTCTTAGTTCTCATCTCCGACTTGATGGAAAGCATAAATTAGTCACACAAGAAAGTGACAAATGCAGAACACTTGAGCTGTCATATGGCAGGAGGAAATGTATTTTGTGGTTAACAGCGAAGGCTCGTACACTGAGCTGAACGGAAACTGTTCACAGGTTAAGGTCGCTTCTGACGTGCAAGAGCTCACAGCGGGCTGCAGACGAGGAGAGCCGGTCTGCCTCTCTGCAGCCCGCATCGTTCTGCTGACCTTCTGGCCCGCAGCCTTGACGGAGACGTGGCATTGATCTGAAACCGATGCTCTTTTTCACCTTGACCTTGTGAATATTTTAGGCGATAAGCAGCGACGGACAAATGCAACATTTAATACAGGACTTCTGTGACAAATGAGAGTATTACCACCTGCATGCACCTTCATGTATGTTTTCACGCAGTTCCAGCTCCTTGTTGGGTTTAATGAATCCTGAGTTTTATGTCTGGGAAGCCTTGAAAAGCACAGACGGATTTTCCAGTTCCGGTGTTAAAAATATTCTTTCCACATTAAAGTTATTTGATCTTTGAGAGACTGTACTTGCATTCAAACGCAATTATTATTAAATTAGTTGAAAATGGTTTTAAATTGACAATGTTATTGTCTAACGCACTGATTTCTGGGACGATTTATCGTCCAGCAGAATTTGCTGTCATGACCCGACGGGTAGCTGCAACTGACAATTATTTTAATAATCGATTGTTCAGACGATCAATCGATTAAATGGGCTTGAAAAAATACCACAATCTTTTCTTTCGTGGTGAAAATGGACTTGCAAACTTTGGTTCTTTGGTTGGTGTTTAGCGGTTGGCTAAAAATAATGGTGTCAAAATCAAACAGATGGCATGCAGTCGTAAACAAAAACATCTAAACATGGTAGGCTAGTAACCATGTTTAGCTAATAACCATGATTATTAGCTTGTTGAACACACATTTGTGCTGACTGCTCCTCCGTTCAAGTAAGTAAAATTTAAAGTGCCGGTGTCTCTGCCGTCCCAGGCGTCCCGCGGCCCAGGAAGCGTCTCACCGAGCTGCTGCTGAAGACGGCCCTGGACGCGCCCGGAGACAAGGAGCTGGAGAGGCGGAGAAATGCCGCCAAGGTCTGGGGGTTCCGATTCTACCGGAGCCCCACTGAGATCTTAGCCGACCCCGGCCGCAGCCGAACGGCCGGCATCCGACTGGCGGTCAACAGGCTGGAGGTTGGAGCACAGCTTTGGATTTCAAAACACAACATGCGGCCCACTTCGGATTCTTATATTCTGTGTTTATCGGGGGTCAGGGGTCAGGAGACGCAGCTCGGGCCGTTCTGACCGGAGAGGTAGAAGACGTTTCCTGCGGTCTGGTCATCAGCAGTATCGGCTACAAGAGCCTCCCCATCGATCCCTCCGTGCCGTTCGACTCCCGCAGAGCCGTCGTGCCGAACTCAGTGGGCCGGGTTCACCAAGCCGCAGGTTTCAAAACATTCTCCTGTGATAAGAACCCTTTAACTAGACCATTTTCCATAACTCGGCCTTTCTCTTTAGGCTTGTATTGCAGCGGTTGGCTGAAAACGGGCCCCACGGGTGTGATAGCCACCACTATGAACAACAGCTTTGACACGGCCCGGTCCCTGCTGGAGGACATGGACTCTGGAGCGTTGGACGTGTCGGCTGCCAAACCCGGATCGCAAGCAGTCAGCAGTCTGCTGGAGGAGCGAGGTAGAGCAGCGCCTCGCCGCTCACCGCAGCATTTGTTGTTTTATCCGACTTTATTTATCTTCACCCCAGAAATGAACTGTAGCACAGAAACATCACCTCTATCTATTTTTTTAAAAAACAGTATCCACAAACTGACTAAAACTAGCTTCTTTATTAATGATTATTAGTGTTTGTTGTCCTTGAGAGCGAGGAACAAAACTCAAAATGCCAGCAGCAGTGCTGCTCCAGTCACTGACGGTTTGTTTTCCGCCATCTGTAGGAGTGAAACCAGTCACCTTCTCAGACTGGGAGAAGATCGACAGCTTGGAGACAAGGAGGGGGGAAGCTTGCGGCAAACCCAGAGAGAAACTGCTGAGCGTGGAAGAAATGCTGAAGGTGGCCCGGTCGTAACGGACACGCATCAGGCGGAGTCCAGGAGAATGACGAGACAGTGACGGCACTGGTTACTGTATCCATGGGACCAGATTCGTACGGTACAAATGTAGGGTATGACATCAACGTCTTTATAGGTTGATGCTTCCAGCACAAAGATAAATATTCAAAGTCAGTTTCAGCTGAAATATAATATGGAACAGGGGTGTCCAACATTTCTGGCTCTTGAAATGATTTTTGACTACAAGTAAAAAAATTGTAAAAAAATTAATAAATAAAATAAAAAATGTGGTCAACAAAATGGAAAGCAATAGATTAACCAAACAATTTGGAAATTAAATGTTTTCCTTTCAATTAAACAACATTCCAAAACAATTTTTATGTTTTGGACCTTTAATAATACCCAGATTTTACACATAAAAATTGTGTACGTTCACATTTTATCTTTAGGTTTCTACTTGTAGAAACTCCACCTGTGGTGTAATTAGATGACTTCTGGTGGCAATTTGATTGCAGGGATTTTTTCAGGGGCTGGGTGGAGATTACCAAATCAAAGGATAGATGAAAATGCACACCACACTTTTCAGACACATTTAGGACAATATATTGATAGATTGTAAAGTAAGCTGAATACTGCAGGTCAAACTTAGCAGTATTGTTTTTGTGTTTGGTCAGTCACATAAAGTCCCTGCGCCTTGTGACTATAAAGTACAAACAAGTCAGAAAGGCAAGGCACTGTGTGTATAAAAAGTCAGCTGTTTCCTGGGTGTGTCTCGAAAACTGCAACATTTGGAAGTGGAGCAATGGAAGTCTCCGGTTTTGGTCCCCAGTGATGTCGTCCTGCTGCACTGGAAGCTCAGCAGACATTGACTCTAATATGAAAAAGACTTTTTGTTCCATGTTCGCTAATGTTTTTAGATTTTGTAAACAGAAATAATGGATTTAAATAAAACGATAAATCCTCTGGGTGATGCTTTTGTAACTTGGAGGAGGGAGGAAAGTGGAAACTAAATCATTCCTTCACAAAATGAGATGGTGGCGGTAATGTTCACATATTAACCTGTAATTTCGTTAACTTGGTCCAGAATCAGCTAGTTTATTCTTCCAATGCAGGTGACTAATCAGTAGAGTGACACTGCCCCCTGCTGGATGAGTCTAGGTTACAGTCAATTCAAGTGAATAGGAGCGATTTAAGCACTCGGTTTACCAGAGTGAGGTTAACTGTTTATTAGATACAGAAAAATATTTGAAGTTTGTTTTTTCTTTGTAACCATATAATTTACTTTACTTGGGGTGGTCAGTCTCATTTTTATTGGTCAGTATATTATTATTATACTGTTACTTTGCTATTTTGATTCACATTCAGACATCTTTGGTGCATTGTATGACTGGAGACGGTTTTTTGTTTGCCAGATTCGTTTGAATTCATTGTGTCCATTTAGCAATTCATTAAACTGAAAATAAGGCCGAATAGAACAAATAGAACAAATCTGAAAAGAAAACTGGAATAAGATGCATTTTAAGCTAATCTGAAGATAGACACCTGAGTTGCACTGACCCATCTGCAGAAAATAAGGTAAATGCATCAAATTTGTACTACATTTCAATAAAATATTTGTTTTTACTATAGAATTGTTTAGGTTTTTTTTTTTAATAACAAAAGAGATGTAACATTTCTGGCCCACGACTACTTTTAACTTTACAATTGTGCTTTTACCAGTCGCACTGATGGCACTGTTAGTAAGAGTTAGACAAAAATTGACACTTTTAATGAACTTTTTAAAATATGCATCTGATTGACAAAGAGCTGTTGTCGCAAGAATAAAGACCAGGCTCTGAAACGGTTAAGAAATGGTTTATTTAGACGATGATTCCACACTTTCCAGACTGGATTTCCAGTCGGATGCATTTCTCCTGATCAGTAAATGCCGTAGGTGGGCTCCTTCCCATCTCTGTACCTGTCCAGGTAGCGCAGCGGCTGCCTGTGTGGATACTTGACCTGTGGAGGGTGGTACACCGGAGGCCTGATGAACTCGAACACTGGCTCCTTCATGTCTACAGCGAGAATGTGGATTTAATCTTTAAACAGACCTCAAAACCAACGTGGCAACATGAAGAAACTCGACTCACTGAGTGTGCTGTGGAAGGTGTTGGTAACCGATTCGTCCCACTGGCTCTGGAAGAAGGCCAGGCCTGCTGGCGTCATGTCGTCCTGATGCTTTCTGTAGAAATCGACGGTCTTAAAGGTGCGGTCAACCAGCGAGTGGCTGAGGAGGAAAAGACGGCATGGATTATTACACACATACCAGGAATGCTCCTCTCATATCCTGTTATGGTGAGAAAGTACATCTCGTTTCAAGTGCTTGAGCTTCTTGATTCTCTCACGTTCAGATGAGATGCTGGGGCCGCTACTCACCATGGCGACGGGCGGAGATCTTCCCGGAAGCTGATGGGTTTTTCCTGCTTGAAGAGGACGTAGATGTAGCGGTGGAAGCCTGTTCCCCTGGCAGGGAAGGGCGGCAGGTAGTGACACAGCTCATCTCCGGCCTGCACCGCCCCGCCTGGAATGTTCCCGCTTTCAGGGACACGAGACGGTTCACGGTTTTTAATATTCACATGTTTTGGGGACTAACCGGATGAAGAAATGCACACTTTGGATTGCATCTAAAGCACTTACACAAGCCAGTGGAGGTACTCTGCCTCGTTATCCAGAAGATGCTCGTCTGCAAAGAAATTAAATAAAAACAAAGGTATGTTTTCTGAATTTGAATGTGAAAACTGGGGATGCACGCCATCAGCTTGTGAGTAATTGTTAATTTATGGTTAATTAGATCAAAACGAATTCCAACTGATATATAAGGTCCGCTAAGACCTTCTTTTGTTTTTGTTGTCCAAACACGGTCAGTTATGGGAGGTAAAATTCAGTACATTATGAAACATTTATCCCTTTATGTTAATAGAATGACGGCCAGCCCTATTGAAAACAGATCTTAATCTCACAGGCTGAAGGCGATGCTGACCTGGAGAGGTAAGCAGGAGGGTCCATAGAGAACCCTCCTCTGCGTCAAAGGCGATCCGGGGGGCCGACGCTGCCTACAGAGACAAGATGGAGTCCAAGATGAGCTAAGAGAAGAAACGTAATGTGGAAAAATGCATCGTCTGTTATTTTAAACATACTTCTGTAGGCGTCAGCTTATTCCCATAATGCACTTGTTCATCAGTGTCCTGACTGTAGCTGATGCGGAGGGTGACCTGAGGTAGAAAATACGCCATTGGGAAGAGGTCCCTGAAGACCCCGTAGTGGTCGGCCAGCTTCTTAATGTCGAACGGTCCGCCGGTCTTCTCCCAGGTTTTCTGCACTCGGTCCAAGGAGATCTTCACTGAAGGGGTGACATGTGTTCACTTCAGCAGTGACAAAATAAAGTCAGATTTTGACAAACGTTAAGGGGGACAAAAAAAAGCGTACAAGTACGAAGTCGGGAGGCCCTCTCCAGCTCCACGTTCCTTTTGTTTTCTCTCACTACCTGCCTCCTCTCCTTCAACTCTTTGGTTCTGTTGGGACGACAGTACGGCAGTCCGATGTCCACGCGTTCGGCACCTTGACACACAACGATACTCGGTGACGCTTTTGAAACCCACCAGCGGCAGAGACTCCAGAGTGTACTCCTCACCGTGCTCGGGATCTGCTTTTTCCATGTAACTCCTGTAGGTCTTCCACCACACGCGCTGGTTCTTGGCCTCCTCGGCCTGTCGGAAGTAGCGGTTGTAGCTGCGGTATTTCTCCAGTGACTCCAGGTCCGATGTGTCGATGTTCTCATTGGGCATGGGACCCAGAGGACGCACCCGTTTGCTGAGGGCCGCTGGGTCCAATGGTGAGAAACAACATCATCAAAATGATCTGGGTTTAAACTATTATCTGGCATAACTGCGTTTTGAAATCAAATTTGAATTCAACCTACAGCTAAGATGTTTCGGTCAGGCATGTTCACAGACAGACCTCTTTTAGTGACAAATTATTATTATTTACCCTGTTATGATTATTTCTGAGACCTCTAATAGACCTGATGTTTGTCTCTGCTTCCTGTTTTGAAGCATGCTTGTTTTCTGCCCTTTGTTGGAGGATCTATGTATTTCAGAAGGAAAAATCTCATTTGACAATAAAGAGCAGAATGAAACTTGATTAGAAACAAAGTTTAAATGGGACAGAAAGCTCTATTTATTGTCATTGTTGGTTACAAGACAAAAAAAAACCAATGTGTTTTAACACAATTATACAAAACATAACCTATCCAGCACTGTTTTACAGCAATGGCATAGTAAAAATGTATTAATTTATTATTCTGGTCAATCCCATTTAAATCAGTTACTGTTTAGGCAAACGCTTCCATGGCAGTAACATTAAATTTTATTATTTTTAGTTTGTGAAAATACAATTCGTGTAAAAAAAAAGGCCAAATTTGATTTATTTTCTAAAAAAAATAAAGGAGTACAGTTACAGGCCCAAATAAGTCTAATGTAACACTTCTGATACAAAGAAAGCCAGGTAATGCTTCAAACAACTATTGGTTTAGTTCAAGTGAAAGAAAAATGTTGCATTTCAATTTAATGCTTGAAATTGAACTATTTTTCTTATGTGAATGGGCTCATTGCTTTTTGACACATGATTAAACAGCAAAAAGTCGTGGATTCTCCTTCCGTTGTTAAACCAACCCAGTCAGTTAATTTTATCGTGATCAATAAAATTAAGACTGTAAACAAAATATTCAGATTTTTGCTGACTGCTGCTCAGTTTGTCATCTCTGACCGCGCACCATGTTTCTGTTGTTTCCCTCAAACAAAGCAACACTCGCGCATTAAAGTTCGGGACATAACTACCAAATGGAAAATATCTCAGAAAGAACCATTACAATACCTGTTGTAGCGACAGTCCTCGCGTTATTGACCCCTAAATCTGTCCCGGCTCGCAGCGCAGCAGCACAAACCGTGCGCAGCGCCATCTTGGATAATCTTCCCCGTAACTACGGTGGCCGTGTGATCACCCAAATAGCACAGGAGAACGATGTCGCGTTCAATGTATCAAACAACTCAGAAATCTACTTCAGTTCAGTTGTTTTTTCCCTTTGATAAGTCAACAGGTTTTCTCGCACTGTAACCCAGACAAGGATTAATACGTTAAAAATGAAATAAAAAAACACAAAAGGATTTTACAGGAAAAGAAATGCGTGTAATAAAACGTAAAAATATTATATTTTCTGTTGTAATGACGAGCTACTGTAGCATTCTGTGTTGTGCATTCAAACACTGCGCAACCCTTTTTCTTTTCAATAAGATAATATAAGTTTTCGAGACCAAAATGACCAATAAAGAGTCGAACTGCTTTTACACTTTCTCAATTCATTGTCTCAACAGTTAAGCATCTTGCTATATTTATTACACGAAAGCGCATAAACGCTAGTATTGATTTCAATAAGCGGTCCAAACAAAACTCCTTATTTAGTATAAGGCAGGAATCTCTCATCCACCTTCATTTGCCCCGTTTAGAGTTGTGCTTACTATTTCCCAGTAGCCAGTGAAGGCGTCGCGTTTGCGTGCTTTCGTCATCGGCGAAGCGTTCTTCTGTACCCTGCATGGACAAATCTATTGTAGTGGTAAGACATGTCAGGATGTTACATTTGCGTTACGATTGAGTAGTCGGAGAGTGCGCGCTGTTTAATTCGGGATGAAGTAGTTTATTTCTCGTGATATTCTTGACCGAGTATTCGTCACGTCGACGAGAGTCGTGGCTAAAATTGAAGGAGCCACACGTAATGCTAACGGGAGCTAGCGCTAGCCGTGCTCCCTATTGAGTTCAGTTCAGGCTGTTGGCTCCACCTGGATAGAGGGTAGCATGTCGCTGTGCCTTTATTTATTTGCTGTTGCTTTGTGTCACAGTTCAATGCAGAAAATAATAATAATAAAAAAGACTATTTTATTCAGAAATAGTCGGGGGGTTTCTTAGTCTTGTAACTAAATCGTGGTGACAACCTTTCTCTCTCTGTGTTCTTCTTTCTTCCAGATGTTTGTTGTTTCCCCGCAAACATGGACGCTCAGAATTCGTATCTCAGCTGCGCCATATGCCTGGAGCGCTTCAGGTACCCTGTGACCATCCCCTGCGGCCACACCTTCTGCAAGGACTGCATCAGCACGCACTGGGACACCAGCGGCAGGTCGAACAAAAGCCCCCACTGCCCCTTCTGCAACCAGGAGTTCGCGTCCAGGCCGGTTCTGAAGCGGAACGTGTCGCTGTCGGTGCTGGCCGAGTCCGCCAACAACACGGGCCCCTCCTGCAGGGAGCCTCTGCTGAGGCCGGGGGACGGGGCGAGGACTTTGCTGCTCTGCGATCGCCACAAGAAGCCCCTGGTTTATTACTGCAGGCAGGACAAGATGCCCGTGTGCTGCGAATGCGGCATCACGGAATGCGCCAACCACGACAAAGTCATGCTGGAGGCTGAGAAGGAGAGTCAAGAGGTATGAGACGAGTCCGGGTACTTTTGACTAAACTTTTCAGTAGTGAGGTAAAATCTTTTCCCCAAATTGTGTTTTTTTCCCCCCCTTACAGCTGTTGCTTGAAAGAAAGAGTAAGGAAGTGGAGAAACGGCTTGAAGACACACAAAAGAGTATAAATGACTTGGTGGAGAACATCAGCCATGCTAAGGTGATTCCTCAAAATATATATATATAAAGAGGAAAATGTTGTATCCACACTCTGTATGCTTTCCTACTTTATTGGAGTTAGATAAACACAAAATATTTAAAATTCTGATGTGAATGTCACTGGTGTTACTGGTGTATTAAAAAGCCCTATTTAAAATAAGCAAATTACGCTTAGCCTGCTGTTGGGGCAAATAAAGCCTGGAGGCCCGCCAGGCTTATAGTACACTAGTAAACAATGTTGAAAGAAAACCTTTCCTAGTCCACGAACAGTTAACGGCGCTTAACTGCGAACGACTGAAATGGAAGTTGAAAATCGTTTGTTTCCTTTTCGATCTGAATGAGTTCTCAATATTTAGCAAAGAAAAACAGGTGGATAAATATGCAGGGCTGATGGGCGACGTCCTCACAAGGTGGCAGCCGCTCAGTCATTCGTTGTCTTAAGTTCTGAACACAAACGGATGACATGTTTTGGGTTTTTTATTGGTGAAATGATGTTGAAAGCTATGTTGGGCAGTATGCCACATAAAATCCGGTGGAGTTTGTGGTTGTAGCTTGACAAAGAAAAGAACAAAGAGGAGCGTTGATACTTTTTCAAAGCCCTATAGGAGATTATGCTAACCTAACCTTTTGGACGTAGTTTAAAATTGGAATCCAGTCTGTTCGTATTTGCTTGTGTATAGTGAAAGATTGACCAGTATTTCACCAAGCAGACCTGCAACTGAGGTTCTTCCATCAACAGGTGACTCTAGAGCAGACTTCGTCTTGGATGAGGGCCAAGTTCTCGTCTCTGATCAAGATTCTCACCGAGAAGCAGGAGGCCACGGAGCTGTTCATCGAGCAGCAGAAGCAGGAGGCCATCACGGAGGCGCAGACGCGGCAGACCTGCCTCCAGCAGCGCTTGCTGGTCCTCCAAGAGAGCCAAGCCCAAATAGCAGCTCTGCACGATCTCGCCGACGCCGACCTCATCAGGGTTTGTACCCGACAACATCAGCGGGCCGCGGTGATCTCATATTTTGTTGAGCGGGGCTGGAGCAGATGCGTTTTACTCTCAGGAGTCGACGCGGGTGGAAGTGCCACGTTTCAGCGACGTTCCCACAGACGTGTCGTCAAACCTTCTGGATCGGCTGAACGGCGTCACAGACGTTCTGACCCGAGTCTCCAAGCTGGTTTCTGAGGACCTGGAGAGAGCCGTGTGCACCACGGTGCTTCAGGACAACGACGGTGACCTTGATTTTAAGAGCTTCTCTCTGCTGGACCGGCCAGAACTTTTATCCTAATCCGTGTTCTCATGGGCTCATGACTCTGCAGGCTCTCCTCAGGATAAGAGGCCAGTACTTGCTGTGGTTCCCAGTCCGGCTACTCCGTGCCTCCCTGGTGGGAAGGAAGGCCTCAGTGCCTGTGAGTCCTGCTTTTTACACGCTGCGTGACTGAAACCTTAGCTTGACAGATCTTAACTCTCGTCTCAATCCCTGTCTTCGTAGATCGGTGCTCTCTGACGTTTGACCCTCGGACGGCCAACGAACACCTGTCTCTGTCTCATGAGAATCGGAGGGCGGAGCACCTGACCTCCGGACCGCGCCCGGTCCCAGCTCACGAGGCTCGCTTCGACCACACCTGGCAGGTTCTCTGCTTCCAGGGCTTTAAAAAGGGACAGCACTACTGGGAGCTGGAGGTGTCCAAGCCTTGGGCCTACCTCGGGGTAAAGACACTTCTGATTCTGGCGTCGTACATCACATCAGTCTTTAGAGATTTCATCTGTTAGAGTAGTTCCAGAATCTTTTACTCTCCCTTTAGCTCGGTCCTGAGTTTGATGGGTTTTTTTGTATATAAGGTTCAGGTCAGAAGACTCAGACAGCAATGAATGGAGGATGACTGTGTGTCGAGTAAATGATTTTTGTGTTTGAGTTGGTCGCTTTATTATTTTGCCCAAAGACCCAAACATGAATCACTTTCTGTTCTGGGTTTTTTTTTTCTTTTTTTAATTCGTCCATTTTGTTTTTTGTTTTTTTTTAACCCCTCCCTTTTCCAGGTAACTTATGAAACCATCCCCAGGAAGGAGAAGGGGAAGCGGTGCATGGTGGGTATGAACGAACTGTCGTGGAGCCTCCAGCTGGACGAGCACCAGCTCTCCGCCTGGCACAACGGCAGACGGGAGACGCTGGTCGGCCACTCCCATCACAGCCGCATCGGCATGCTGCTGGACTACGAGGCGGGGACGCTCACCTACTATGGCGACGGGCAGACGAGGCTCCACGCCTTCCACTGTGCCTTCACCCAGGAGCTGTTCCCCGCCTGCTGGATAGGGGAGGGAGTCAGCATCACCCTCTGTTCCCCGTGAGCCTCCTGCTCATTCGACACAGAGAAACTTGTGCGATCTGTTAAAAAAAAAAAAAAAAAAAAAACTTTTTCTCCACTTGTACTACTCTCCTCTCACCACTTGGTGGCGACAGAAACTGAATCCTTGCAGCTTTCACTCCATTTTATCTAAACGAGTTAATGTTTCACACGTTGGAAGAAATCAGCTTCAACGTGACTCCAGATCAACTCCTCTGATGCTTTCACTGCACCCAGTTGATCCTCGTCTAGAGCAACACGACGAGCTTTTAACGCTGAAGAAAATGACTTCAAACATGGGGGTTGCCAACACTTAATGCAATCCTTATTTAAACTTTTTTTTAAAAATATGTTTACCGAAATGAAGAGGAGCGCAGTGACAATTATCACTATTGGTGTTTTGCATTGACGGGACTATTGTGATGTTTTCATGTTATTCAACATACAGCTGTATTGTGCGTACAGGACGGACCGGCTGATGGTATGCTGCCAATTTGTGTCGCAAAGAGTTTCAATTAGTCTGTTTTGAATTAGCTTCAAAGGAATACTATTATTTGCCTTCCTGCGCTGAACTTGCAAACAATCATCCTGGGCATGAATGCAACGCTAACCAGCTACATTTATCCAAACGTGTCAGTTTTCGTCTCTGACCATAAAACATTTATGCAGGAGATGTTGAGCTTGTCCGTGTGGCCAGCTGGAGGTTTCGTTTGATCGGTTTGTGTTATTAATTTGTCTCAGTTGGTGCTGGTGTTGGGTTTGTTGTCCAAAAGCTTCAATGTTCATCCAAGCTGGAGGACAATCATCCTAAACATGTCAAAACTGGAGTTCTGGATTTTGAAATACTAGAATGTTTTCCCAAAGCGGGATCCTGGTCCCAATGAAAATTTGACATGGAAAAAGTCAAGCCTGTGGACAAAATCACTGGGAAGGAAGGCCTCAGTGCCTGTGAGTCCTGCTTTTTACACGCTGCGTGACTGAAACTTTAGCTTGACAGAGCTAAAGTGTCAGCTTCAACTGACACGTTGAAGCTGAATAATTCTACTGTGGAAAAAGATTGGTTGAACTGCACAACTCCATTCAGTGCCACTTCACATGTTGGAAGAATAACTTTGTCACCTGCTGCAAAGAAAATCCATTTTTGTTAACAGGTTTTAAAAAAAAAACTACTACTGAGAAAAGAGCTCTTGGACTTTCAGCATGACAGCAGAAACTGATTCCTGCAGTGTGATGCTGGAATCTGCAGCACTTTCTAGATGTTTTCAGTATGTTTATGACAACCAGCCATGTTTTTTTTTCTTTCCTTTTTTTAATTAAGCACTTTTGCTGAGCTCCGCTGTCAACCTTTGGGCATGTTGAGGTACTTGAGGCTCAGGATTTTTGGGAAACTGCTGTGGATATGCACAAAACGCTGCAAAAGACGGAATCGGAGCACTTTTCCTGACGTAGAAGCATCAATCTAGAATGAGTTTGTCTCTATCGTGTTTAAAGAAGAAATTTAAAATGTGACAAGAATCCTGACTGGAAATAATAAAAAAACAAAACTCCCCGTTTCATGAGTTTAGAGCCATTTATTAAACTTAAATCAAATGCGCACATGCTTCTGTTGAGATCATGCCGTTTTGTTTTTTCCATAATCGAACCATTCTAGAGTAACTGTTCAATAAATTAAGTTTGAAATACACAGAGCTGAATGTTATTGCACACCCAGCCATGACGAGAGCGAACCGTAGCCTGATGCATAGCATTCTGAAAGTGCAAAGAATCAGCCGCTGATGCGCCACAGATACAGGATACAGATAAAATGACCACACAGGAAGGAAGAACCGAGGCGCTCGAGATCAGGTCGAGCGAACGGAGCTGAACGCAGACCGAGCCCATCCTCCAGGCGCCCGTGTTGCTATCTGGGGAAAAAGACAACTTCAATAAAAAAAAAAAGAAAACGAGACGACGGGAGTGAAAGGTGAAGCCCGGAGTAAACAGGACGTGACATCATTAGGTGACCGCTCTGCTCCTGCGTTACATTGGGGGGAGAACCCACCCCTCTGCTCTGATCCCAGAATCTGTGGACTCTATTCTTACTGGTCCCACCAGAGCATGTCGAAACACCAAAAAATCCACTGGCTTTTACAAAAAAAAAAAGAGGCTACTTCGTACTTCTGACGCTGACTGTTCTCGAGAAAATACCTTCTTCTTGAAAATCTCGGTACGCAAAAAAATAATAGAAAAATAAAGACTGCATTCGGTTTGCCTCCGGCCATCTTTAGCGAAGCAAATGACTTCATTGGTTTAGAGTTTGGTTAGATAGAAAATTCTACGTGAGCTTCACATCATTCAACATCAGGTCACAGGAGGTCAAAGGGAAGGGGGGTGATGGGGTGATTCACGGGACACTTGGAAAGCAACAAATACCGACACAATAGATGGCGACCATTTTGGTTGCCAGCGCTTGTTCTCTGCGACTTCCTGGGAAGTAAAGGTGCTTCTGACGAAGGGAGACAGGAAAACAACGAGGAGGGTGGGTGGAAGGCGGGGGAATGTTAGGAGGTGATAAGGAAGACCGAGAGGAGACAATGTCCAGTCAATGAAATGAGAGGAGACAGAGGAACGAGGGCGGGGTCATAGGGGCTCTACTGGTTCTTCTTATCCTCTGGAGGGGAGTAAGGCGGGGGCTTGTCCTGAGAAAAAAAATGAGAGAGAAAGTGTTCGTTTCATTTCAGCTATTGATCAGAGGCAGTTCCTCGGCGCTGGGATGATGGGTTCTTACCTGCGGCAGGTACACGTGCGTAGGAGGCAGAGTGGCACAGCTGGCGCTCGCCGCCGCTTCCGCTGCCTTGGCCTCCGCTGGGCAGAGAACAGGAGAGGATATTCATTAGAAAATATGTCTATGACTATAAAAAAAAACTAAAAAAAACTGGCACAAACGAAAAGGGGAACGGAGGGGTGGCGCTCATTTCAGTGATGGGTGCAGTTAGGAACGAAAGGAAAACGTTTGCCAAATTTTACATTAGTGGTTTCAACGACCCAATTGCATTAAAAAAGCTAAATGTCCTGACTCAAAGGATTACGTTTCTTAGACTTTATTGTGAAAACGTTCACATTTCTTGACATTTTCTTTGTTTGTTTTTTTGTTAATGTTGCTACTAGCAAATTTGAGCAGCTCCTGAACAATTTATGTGATAAAACCAATAAATCAGTAAAAAGTTGTGATGGAAACAAAATTATGTATTTTCTTTGTAAAGTCAAGTTCAAAAATACTTTATTGATCCCGAAGGGCAAGTAAATGTAACTCATATCAACTCAAATTCTTCAGAGTCATTTCAGATGGTGGCGGACAGATTTTCTGTAGATCAATCGAGGTTTGAATTTAACTGAACGGAAAACATAATTGCTTGTTTTTGAGGCATGTCAACTATTGTTATTGGTTGCAGGACTGGGCTTTTACTAGGCCATTTCAAGATGTGAATCTGCTTTCCTCTGCATGCTGCTTTCTCAGGCCATGCCCTCTAGCCCTGCTGAGGACAAGCGTGACGACACGGCAGCATGGCGCTGCCACCGCCATGCTTTACTGTGGCGATGGAGTGCAAAGGCCTCGACTTTCCTCTCAAGACATTTGTTGATTTCTCACTAGAATATAAATGCAGCTTCTTTTTTTAAGTTTTTGCTGTTCCTGAGACAAAATTATATACAAGTGAGAAAAACAATAGAAAATCAAAGTTTTTTTTCCATCATCTGGTTGTTTTTCTTTGTCTGCTATGAGTTTGGCTCCAGTCTTTAACGTTGCTGTTGGTGCGATCATAAAAACCAAAGAAAGCAAAAAAAAAAAAAAAACGATTCTCTTTCTCAAAACTGTCTCTGGGGCTAAAGAGTAATAAGAACCATCAAGTTTTTTTGATCTGTTTATTTTGATCTTAGCCACCACTTAGAGCCTCTCTGCTTGAGAGACTCACCTGCTGCTGAGGAGGGCAGGTCTGGGTCACGTGGTGGCTGCTGACCCAGGGGGGCAGAGTAAGGAGGGGGCGGTACGTAGCTGGCAGACGCATCGAAAGCCGGAGGACTAGGGTAGAATGCCCCTGGATCACAGAAGAAGAAGAAGAGAGAACCAAATGAAACTTTCGTTGAATCACACACTTACAACACAGCTGTCATTGTGATGGTACCTGGAGGGGGGGGGTTGGGGTAGGAGTAGCCAGGTGGAGGTCCCTGAGGGTACATTCCGTTAGCGGGGGCAGGGGGGAAAGCATAGCCTCCGTTGGCCATGAAAGGGCAGCCACCGAAGCTAGGAGTCAGCGGCTGACCCTTAGACGCTGCAGCGACAAGAAACATCACAAAAAGTACTTGAGTAAAAAGTCTTTTAAAAGAAAAAAAAAACACTGGTCAGACGGATTCATTTTCTTACCCTGAGCTGCAGCCTGCAGCATGAACTGGCCAAACTCTATGGCTCCGCCCGCGGCGAAGACCAGCTTGAACGTGGCGCCTCCTTCCCAGCCGCCTGGAAGACATTCATTTCATCCAGATGGCAGAGAACCCGACTCGGCCCAACGACGGGGCCCAAACGCGGCGCGCTTACCTCCGGGCTCGGCACTCACGGTGCCCTTGATGTAATTGGCGCCCAGAACCGGCTGTTTGATCTCGCAGCCCTTCATCAGGTAGAAGGGCATCATGAAGGACTGCAGAGCGTCGCGTCCTTTAGCCAGGAAGATCACCTGGAAGGAGCAAGCAGCGGGTTTCCACTATCAGGCTCCACTTAAATTTTGCTGGCCTTTTTGGTGCACTAAATATTGTTAGAAATATGTCTGTGAAAGTAATTTAAAAAAGACACAGCTTCATCATTTTTCCAATCATCCTCCCCCTTTCTCAGTTTAACAATAATTTAGCTGTTTCTTGCACTAGTTTTGTCTTGCTTTTCTTTTCTTTTTTTCTTTTTTTTTGCAGCATTGTGCGTTTGTATTTTATCACCTGTGCATAGAAAGGCTAAAAACAACCAAAATAAATAAATATGTACATGTGTCGTTTCTGGAATGTTAGAAAAAGTGAATCTTGCAGGATGTTCTGATCCTAACTCCCGTTTTGAAGCAGAAGTAGGTTTTATCAGCGATAACAACCTCCATTGTCCGTCCTCGCACATTCAGCAGAATTTAAATGTCTCCCTGTCGTTTTCTTGGACATAAGGAGCTTCTTTGTTGCCGTTTTTTTCTTGTCACAAAGACGTTTGTCCAACTCAACTATATTCCGATGCACACACTTCCACCTCCTAACCAAGTTGTGCACTGGCGAGGTTTTGAAGCAGACTTTCTCACTAGGTACCTGAGCCCGTTTCCAGTTATGCTGGAAATAAAGACTGCAATCTGTTATTTAATATGAAAACTGCATGTAAAGATACACCATACAGATATCTGCTTGATTTCCAAGTCTAACAAAATGTAGAGTTGTACAATCTGGATTGGATTGTTCTGCAATAAATACAATGTTTTTAAAGGCATAGTTTTGCTGATGCCTTGGTTGGCTAATGAAAAAATAAATAAATCAAAAAGTAGGAATTTCAATACTTCGTTTGGAAGCAGAAACAAAATCATGATAAGAATTTTTTTTTTTGGCGTCTTGATAAAAATCCAATTAATGACATAAAAAAAAAACATCAAAACTGACAGTATTGTTATTGGAATTTTTTTTAAAGAAAGAAGTAAAAACTAGTTTATCACAAAATATCGTGATAAAAATCTAAGTGCACTGGACTTATCCCTAATGAGAAATACTGTTTATTGCAGGAAAGTGAACTTGTTCTTCAGTAAAACAACTGCTAGAGAAAACACCAGTCAGCCCGAAGCCAAATGCGCATTTTAAAGAGCGAAGACTCACTTTTAACTACAATTGAAAATTTTGAATTGGAAGACGATGATGATAGCGTTTTGCTTGTTGTTCGCCAGGGGCAGCGCATACAAAACGCCACTCACCCTGTACGGTGTCAGGTAGACGCTGCCCTTTTTGCTCTTTCTGAACGGCTCCGGCAGGCGGTCCGCATCGCAGAAGACGAGCTCCACATTGTCATGGGACATCAACATGCTGGTGACATAAACATGCATTTACAATAATAATAATAATAATTTAAAAAAAAAAACACTGTGCATAATGTATGTCAAAAATATTTACAAGCCTCCAAATTAAAGATGGCTTCAAGCCTCAGTTTCAGAACCCTGCACTTAGAATTTTAAAGTTGAGACAGCTGGGTTTTTACTGTAGCTGTCCAGTTACTAAACATGGCCCTGAAGTAATAGGATTAGGCCCTGATGCCATCTAGTGACAGACTGCAGGGCAGTTTCTCCTGATGGGTTAGTTAATACATTCCTGTATGTTCCAGAAGCACCTATAAGGCAGAATTCATACCAAACCTGCTTTCTCTACTAATGTTATGGCAGCAATTTAGTATGTTGGCCTTACAGCACAGCAGCCATTCAATGTTTTTAAAAGGCACTTTTAATAGTTTAGTTCATGTTTTTATTACAAATATACCAAAGGCCAATTGATACGTCACTTCCTTTCTAGTCTCCATCCATAATTCTGAGATCTGAATAAATTTCTAGCCAAGAAAATATCGATGTGATGTTCGCACGCGCTCTGTTCTGCACTGCCACGAGACACATTTGGGCAAACACACCCAGCATCCAAACCAAACGGCCCTTTTCTGCCACAGCAGGGCAGAGTGTGAGAGGCCAGCAGGCTGTGCAGCGCAACTACGTAACGCAATATGTGTTCCTGCAGAGCCACGGTCCGCACAAGCAGCGTTTAAACGTTGAGCGACACGTATCCTGGAAGCAGGCTCGCGCTCCGTGCTCTTTTTTTCTATTTGTTGGTGTGCGTGTTCGCACGTGAAGTCTGTTTTTCGTTGAAGGCCATGTTTTGGTCACGAGAGCCAGAGCCAGAGCTATCGAACGCGCCTCGAATGTTCCATGGCGCCGCAACAAATAGCGGCGTAATTATGTGAAACTCCGCGTCTAATAGGACAAAACAGCTTATTGTGCTTTCTAAATCCAGGGGAGCTACGTTTCTGTTCAGAATTTAAGGGTAAAAATAAGTCAAATTGGGAAACTGTACAATTATTACCCTTAAAAAAAAATTGTAAAACGCTGCGACTGTACTGTGTACTGCTGCTGTTCGCTGTTTATCAACACGACGCCGTGTTTCCATGAGTTTGCACTCTTCACGTTTACACCAAGAAGAAGAAGAGGATAGGCTAGGCCGAGTGTGGATAACGGAGACTAAAAGCTAACGTTACCTCTCACTGTTGTTGATGATGACTCCACCAGACTCTGAGTGGTTCTGGTTCAAAGTCATGATGTCGACCCTCCAGCGTCTCCCGCAGCGAAAACAGATCAACCGAAAAGGTATTCAGAGGTTTACTAGAGCGAAAAAAAAAACAAAAAACAAAAATGAGGGGTCCTCGGCGGGTGGCACGGTCCGTTAGTAACGGTTGTTATGAGTCTGATGCTTCAGCTGCACCTGCTTTCCTTCCGCTCTACGCTCAAGTGACGTAACTCACGTACGACACGCGCATACAGATAAAAAATATATATATTTTCTTAATGTAAGCCGAAAACTGTAATTGAATTGGATGCGTGAAAAACAAATGAATAACACGTACTCGTGTTATATTATTGATATTTTAAAAGGATTTCTGAAGGGTTGCGAATCAACGCATGACGTAAGCGGTGAGCTCATCTTGTCGAAGTTTCTGCGGTGTTACGCAACAAATATAGAAAGGTAGGTTGTCAACTGATAATTTTACCAACGACAGAGGAATATATATTTATTTATGCAGGTATTTATTTGTCTATATTGTGATGTGTATGTTTTGTGTTTTTTTTTTTTTTGACAGATTAATAATAAATTAGTGAACATGTGGGTTACAAGGCACTGCTGTTAAACGAGATGTATTTTTGAAATGCATCCCGTGGTATTAAAATGTTATCCTGGATGTGTTGATCGGTTCAGTGACACTCTAGAAATAATGATAATAATTAAAAATAAAAACCCTTAGGAAAATTCCAGAAGTGTGCAATTACATTAATTGAGGAAGTGGTTTCACGCACTCCCCTCACTGATGTATCTTTATGCCTTGGACTTTGTCAGATTTTATCCGGAAATATCAACAAATACAAGAAAAAAACAATAATTAAAAAAGCAGCTCAGCCATTTTAACTCTGTTATCCCTAAATAATTTCCAACACAAAGTCGAATCCATCTGTGTGAAATGTAATTTCGTTATGAATCCTGCTGTTCTGTGTCAGCCTGCGAGGTGTGTTAGAGCATCATGGCAAAGTCTAACTAAAGTTGGAAGTTACACAACATAATCCCAAACTTTAAATAGCTTCTAAAGTTCATCAGAGAAGTAGCCGTTATGTCCATGGGAACTTGGGAAACTGTTGCAGAAATCTGATGGGTAAATAAGTTGTGATTTCCACAGACACATCAGACATGTGGAAGAAGGTACTCTAGTTAGATGAGACCAAAATTTGACATTTTTTCCCCCTACATGCAAGCACAACACCTTGAACACGCCAGCTCTGTGGTAAAACATGAAGGTGGCGGCATCATGCTGTGGGAAAACGCAACGGGATGAGGGAAAAGGTGAGATTATTGAATATGTAAGATAATTCAAAAAGTAAAGAAACACGAGTAAAGAAAGATGCAATAAAAACAGAAATATATTCAAACAAAAATAGTGAAAAACACAGAAAAAATAAAATAAAATAATAATAAAACAAAATTATTTTATTTCACTTTAGGATTATGAACCACTTCTTAACACATGAAAATGCAAAAAAAAAAAAAGCAAGTATTAGCAAGTATTGGAAATCGACAGATCTTATATTTATTTTTGATAATTGTATGAAATTAGTCAACAAAAAGAGGAAGAAACTAATTAATGTCAATTTCTCACAGTCCTGTGAACCGACTGGTGCAACGGACAGCTTCTCCTTTAGCTTTATGCAATCTTGTGTGATGCCAGTTTTTCCTCTGTGGTCGAGATTCATCCGTTGAACCTTCCTACAATCCGGACACAGTATTACCAGCAGGTCAGAGGTGTGAACCTCCGAGTGCTGATTTCTTATGTGCAAGCAAACGCCGGAGAGCGAGCGATATAGTTTTTGATTTAGAGATAAAGGAGAGTGCTGGTTGAAGAAAAAAAAGAAAAGAAAAAAAAACAAACAAAAAACTCCTAAGTCACAGCAGTCACTGACGTTACCAGCCTTAACAGGAAGTGATGACTTCCGGCTGCTGTGTGATAGTACATCGAAATGCAGCGCGTGCACACAGTTTCCCCTTAACTCACACACGGAGCGCACCAGCTCACCAGGAAGGAGCCTGGTGATACGATAGAAGCATCACCATGGCAGGTCAAAGTGGGCACTACACCAGAAAAGGAGAGAATTTACTGCAGACACCTGAACAGGTAAAAAAAAAAATCAGAAACAACAAAGAAAAAACCACCAACTCACTTTGACAAAGCCGATGTGTGTTTGACAGGGTGTCTCAGTTTTGCAGCAGTCGGTTAGTTGCCAACTGGGTGGCTGGTGCTGAGAGCTGGTTGCTGATCGAAGTGATCAAGCGCTCTAATAACGTTACCCAAAGACTTTCTTTGGGTTTCAGCTGCTGTGTTGTGAGTTTAGTCACTTGGGGTTTTTTTCCAGGTGATATTTCTGAGCAGAAACAAAAATGTACTCTTCGCGTCTGTCCAAACACCGAGTCATCGTCTCCTGATGGCCATTTTAAGGTCTGAAGACTATGATTCACGGGGCTGTTGGATGCATATTTAAGTCAGACGCTATAAAACAAATCTTGCGTTTTGTCTCTTCAAACTTTCTGCTTTGTTCTGTCGCTAACCCATCTGGAGGAGAACACCGTTTGATGAGTTAAAAGACCTTTTTGCTGCTTCGTGGAAAACATTCAGAGACAGCTGTTTTGGCTACGGCATGTGCATGAAAGGGCAGAGGCGTGTTTGCATATTTATATTTACAACATGAGGTTTCCCGTTCAGTTCGGTTGTTTACTTTTTTCCCCCGATTTGAATGTTAAGCCCCCCCGCACGCTTGCCTTCATGTTATTTTCATAATCAACAATAGAGGAAGTCCCTCTCTGTCAGGGAGGCATCATTAGAAACATGAAAATAACTTGAGTACTCTTTTAAACACGGACACATGCAGTAACAAAATGCGGTAAACCTCAGTTGCTTTTGATGTTAGCTGCTTCAGAAATTTTTTATATGAGCATTGTTGTTTTTCAGGAACCTGGCGCACAAAGAAACAGACAGGTAAGTAACATGAGATGACATTTAAACAGTATTTCATCAGTATTGTGTATGTGGATGGTCAGAGTAAGTTAAGCAGATATCTGATTGACTCCCACGGATGTCACTTTAAGGGACGGACAAAAATACACTGTAAAAAAAAAAAAAAATCCACAGTCATCGTAGCTATCGTCTGTTTCTTAAGAAATGGTTTTCTGAGTACCAAGTAACTTTTGTCCTGCAACGAAAATGACAAGAATACATAAATAAGCCACAGTGTCAAAGGTCGTCGACACAGAAAGCTAAAGAACTAAAGTGAAGCGGAACCGTTGCTATTGGCTGTAAAGAATCCCAACCCAGAAAACATTTTAGGAACTACGGTTGTCAAAATGGAAAAAGTACAGTTTTGCCTCTAAGTTTATACACCCTGGCTTTTTGGCCCATTTTTCAGAAATGAATGATAATTTGGTTTTTTAATAAAAGAAAAAAATCTGCCTGACACTCTTGGTTAGTGGTTGGGTGAAGCTATTTCTTGTCAAACTAATGTTTGCTTTTTCTAAATCATAATGACAAGAGGAGCTGCTCAAATGACCCTGATCAAAGGCTTACATACCCAAGTCCTTAATAACATAAATTCCACCTTTAACACCATGACAGCTTGAAAGAGTTTCGTGCTTGTCTGAGATAAAACATTTGTAAATTTCCCGTATGGTCTTGCGTGAACTGCATGTTTGAGTGATTCAATGATCCTGAGGCCAGAAGACTTTCCCACTGTTGCCAATAACAGGTTGGCTTGGTCCAGTGTTTTGGATCATTGCTATGCAAATTTCTCCTCTGGTATTTTGTGATAACTTGCATTCATCAATTTTCTCCAAACCTCCAGTGCTTCCTGTTGCTAACACACATCATCAGTTACCCACCTTACTGTTTTATGGTTTGAATCCTGTACTTTTATTGGACATCTTGAATCCGCTACACCACTTTTTTAAAAGGTTTGTTAAAGTGTGTTAGCTGATAAATAGTTATAGTTTTTTTCCTTCATTTTCAACAGAATTCCACATTTTCCCCTCGTGTATCAAATAGTTTATAAATGTGAAGCGTCAGACCACTTTGACAAGGTTATGCAAATATTTGGTTTGAGTCAGTTTGGGTGGTTTGTCTTGTCATTACGATTTAAAAAAGAGCAAACACAACTGTTTGATGATAAAGGTCTGCGACACTAAGTTGCAATGAGAAACAGCAGCAGCTATTGAAACCAATACTCTGCCTGGGTATGTCAACTTTTGAGCAGAACTGTATGAGTCAGCTCAGTAGATGTCAGAACATTTATTAGATATGCAAAGATACAACTATAGAGACATCTATACTCAATGTAAGAATTAAGCTGGACACGTACCAGACGTTGATGGTTTCATCCCACATCCGTGTAGGGTTGTGTTGGGGGTAGTCAATGTTATGGGCCACTGTGGTTCAATCAGTAGAGCAGATATCTTACAAACTGATTGAGGGTTTGATTCCAGCTTCCTCTTGTCACGCATCCATGCACTTGAGCATGGCACACCGTTCAGCATATGTATGACTGTGTGGCTCTGTGGCTCTAGAGTAGGGGTAGGCAATCCCCATCCTCCAAGATTGGTGTTCTGCAACTTTTATATGTGTCTCTGCTTTAACACACCTAAGTCAAATATCTTTGGAGAACTAGACTGCACTGAGGAGGTAATTCATCAGTTTGGTTGAAGTGTGCTGGACCAGAGACACATCTACGAGTTGTAGGACATTGGCCCTTGAGGACTGGGATTGCCCACTCCTGCTCTAGAGTAAAGTGCTTCATGAAGAGCCCCATATACATTCAGTCCATCTTTCTGCAGATGTCTTTGGTAAAGAGGATGTGGGTAAGCTGGACACTTTCTCAAAACCAAACACTTGATTGTGACAGAGAAGTGTAAGAGGCTGTAAGCATAACTGTAGACGAAGTGTAGAGTACCAAGAATTTGAAATTGCATTGAAGATGCTGTTATCGCTTCTGTCTGAGCCTTGCTGTGGAGGAGGAGCCATAGTTAGTAGTTTAGGACAAGAGAAGGGTGTTTCGTCCAGAGCATTGCACTCTCTATGGTTCCATTGTAGATTGGTTTGAGTCCAGCGTGGCCAGCCCTTTGAATTTTCTGATAACCAATCCAAACGAGCAGAAAAGCAGTGCTTCACAGTGGGCTACGTCGCTAGGGAAGTGTTAGCATGGGTACAAATTGCGAGCATTGTTTGCCACAGACAGCAGATTCTGCCGGTGTGTTTCGTTATCTGTCAGCCATCCTCAGGAAGAAAGACTGAATAGGTGAGGAGACCTGTCCACCAAGGAGAGATAGTGCCACTGTGTTGATATCAACCAATCACAGACAGTCTTGTAGATGCCGTGTTGCTGCATTGAACCACCATTCTTTTTGAGTGGAGTGACATTTTTATCACTTCTATTTTTAAATGATATATAAATACAGTGATAATGTGAAACTGTGATATTGTTCATTAATAAACCATCTCATTCCAAAAAAGCCCAGACTCTCTATTACGAAATATACCTAACAGAAACAGTTATTATTACAATTTTAAGTTACAGAGCAGGATTAAAAGTTTGACAGAAACTTTTTTTTCTGTCTCAATAGTTTTCCCCAGTCCATACACGTAAACTCGGCCATACAAGAAGACAGAGAGAAAGGAGGGTGAGTGACACAATGTCTTAAGTCTAGGCTTTGCCTCTATAGGCAGCAAACTGCTCTTCTTGTTGCTTCAGGATTTAAAAGAAGATGAAAATCCAGAGGCCAAAGCCAGACGACACAAAGAGATGGAGGTACGCTCGTCTCTTTGTTGTATCTGCTGAATCGTCCCACCTGAACCGTCTCTAAGTTGGACTTCTGTCCATAGCTGAAACCGCTGTATAAGGAGCTGCTGTACACCATCGCCCATACGATGGGTAAACCAGCGTCAGCGGAGGTCTTCACAGACAGCCAGCTCCACCAGTACCTAAAGGAGGTAAAGTCCCTTTAGCACGTAGCACAGGGCATGCTACGCTGATGACTGATGGTTCTTTCCTTTCCATCTACCAGGCTTTCACTATGACAGATGAGGAGCACAGCGGTCTGATGGAGAAAGTACAGAACACAGAGGTGAGAAAAGGAAATCACCATGTTTTGGTTTTCCAGTCAACAAACCGTTTTGAGACCCAGACATCTATTTATAGATTTTGTATGAAATATCTTAACTTGCCTTGGCATTGTTTCTAAGCATCTGACATAACATGAAACCCCCAACAGCCGCCGGTGTACTGCCTGATGGTCACCGTGAAGGAAGCTAAAGAAATTCTAGGAAAAGACATCAGTGGTGAGTTCTGATCTATGATGATCCTTGCATCTCTTAGCAAGGTCTCATAATAGGAACAGTTACAGGAAGTGCTGTATAGGTTGGAACAGGTCAGTTTGCTAATTTCAGCTTTATTGCGATTTGAGATCCACTTCCTGTGGTCTCATTAAAAGACTTTAGCTTAATTTTCTATTCCATCTCAATAAATCCAAGAGTTTCCAAGTGTCACTATTCTAGCAGACATTTTTAATAACTCACATAATAAAAGTAGGATTTTTTTTACATAATATATTGTATTTGATAGAAATGTGCAGAAATGTCTAGTCAGAAGTTGAAATTTCTGTGTTCCAAGATGGAAAAACAAACCAAAAGCTTCTCGCTAACACAGAGTTTATAGAAATCCAAAATGGCTGTTGCATGTTTAAGTAATAAAGTTTATCTGCTTTATACCTCATCAAATTATTAATCCAAAAATGGCTGTCCAACCTTTAGTGTTTGAATACATAAAATCCAAATATAAACACCATTAGCTTGCCTTGCACAGGTTAATTATCTTCTGATTGAGCACAGCGTTTAGCATATTTTCTTTTAATACTAACTCAGAATCACAATTAATTAGTGTGGTACTGACCTTGTAAATAGTTGACGGCAACTGTTATTACGTACTACTAAACGCAGCACGGTCATCAGTGGTGCTAAAGCTAGATTTTGTCTTGTTCAGTTTGCTAGCAAATTTGCACATTGCTAGTACCAGGCTAGATTCCCATTTGTACTCAGTGCTGCCTTAATTCTTAATGGTGTGAATTCAAAAAGTGTAGATGACCGCATTGTAGCTAAATTGTAACCCCAATACTTAAATGGTCATATTTAAGTCTCCTGTTTGTAGCTAATAGGAATGCTATGCGGTGTGGTCTTCTACTACTGTAGCCCCTCATCAAGCTTCAAATTCAAAGAATCTTTTAGGGTAATATGGCAAACTTGTTGTCCATCGTAAAATTAAGGATTGAAATGTGCTTCCTTCAGGTTTTAGTGACCCTTACTGCCTCCTGATGGTCCTGGAAGAGGAGGAGGAGAAAAAGAGCAGCCGTGCAAAAGCCAAACCCAGCAAATATGTGGTAAAGGGGACAGTGTCACATGAGAAAATCTACCAAACTGATATCAAAAAGCAAACCTTGAACCCCATTTGGAACCAAACCTTCATACTGTGAGTTCAAGTTTATTCCTGATCAGTTACAGAGAATGGAGGGTTTTTTTGTTGTTGTTTTTTTACACCTATCATTTCTTTCTTCTTCAGAGAGTTTGAAGATTTGGTGAGGACCACTTTCCACCTTGAAATGTGGTAAGAAGAGCAAGGGGGAAAAAAAGTATCACTTTGCTAGTTTTTATTAAACTTTCGCGTATGCTGACTTTCTGCTCTTCCGCTGCAGGGATAAGGATGAAGAGGTGTCTCTCACTCAGAAACTGGAAGAGATCAAAACCAACTTAAATAGTTTAAGAAGGTATGAAACTCTTTTGTTTTTAATTGACGAAAAACACAATACCTGGCAAGCATTGCTGTATTCTAATCAATGCTCTGCTTAGGATGATCAAGGAGGCCAAAAAGGAGAAAGGCACAGACGACTTTTTGGGAAATATTGTGTTAAGACTGAAGGTAATAAAAACGCTTAATTTACTCCCTTATTTTACCGTGGATGTCTGTTCAGTCTTAAAAAGCAAACTCTGTCATATCGCTTTAGGATCTCCACTGCACTGAGGACAACTGGTACAAACTGGAGCCCAGAACGGAGACGTATCCTAATCGCGGCCAGTGTCACCTCTTCCTCCAGTTCATCCACAAAGCTGTAAAGGCATCCCCTCAAATATTAGCTGTTGGAATCTTATCCCACATAGGATTTGGCACAACTGTGACTAGATTTTTTTTGCAAAAGTGTTTTTACCCCATGAACTTTTTCACATTTGATCAAATGATCCTATTCTGCAAACTTTAATTCTCATCTGACCCTTCAGAGGTTCTAAATACTTTTTTTTTTTTTTTTACTGTAAACCTGCGTGTGTTTTTGTGTCATTGGCAGAGAGACGGGACTCTAAGCGCCGGTCGCAGTGCCTACACCAACTACTGTGGGATTCTGCAGCAGTTTGTCCAAGCTTACATTTCGAAACAACAGGTGTGACACACTTTCTCCCAGTGCTGTTTTGAATCCCGGTTTTCTTCCTTCTTTTCAACTCCGTTCCGATGTTTTCTCACGCAGAGCTCCGCTCCGTGGAAAGGCGCGCTGTGTGGCGAGGCTCAGACTCTGCTTGAACTCTACGCTACGCAGAACGACCTCTCTCCTTTTCTGCAAGACCTGGCGTAAGCACGACAAACTTCTCTTGAGCCACTTTTCGCTGCCAGAACATTTTCATAGAGGCAGCCAGGCCATTAAATATCTTAAGAGGGCACAGTTAAAAGAATATTTTAAATTAATGAACTAATTTATTTTTGTGGGTTTGCATGTATGTATTTCCATGACATGTATTTCCATGACATAAACATGATTCTCTGAGGTGGTCCGCCTGTTGCAATGGGGGCCACAGCCCCCTCTGTGCCCCCTCTTAGGAGCACCACTGCAGTCATGATGAATTTATTACTTGCCTGGGGTATTAACTCCCTGTGTCCACTTGACTGTCTTTTTATGCTCCTACCTTCGTCTGTGATCTCAAAATGGTTTGAGTAAATACAGATACTGTACTTTGTCTCCACTCTTCTAACCACAAAAAATTTGAACTGATCCTTGTTTCGATCGCAATTTCTGTACAAATTGAGAACTGGTAAATCATATGATCTTGTAGGAAAGCAAGTACACTCATGCCAACTTGACTACTCTTTTCTTCCCTATGTTACATTGAGTTCATGTGTGAATTCGCAACATTTTATAAGGACAGGTCACACCAAAGAAGTGGCCGTTCTTGAGTGACTGGAGCTGCACATTGTCTGCTTCGTTTGTGAAAGCTCATCCGGCCTCCGGTGCCAAGCAAGCAAACTTTGGTCTACCTGAAAACACGGGTCTGGGGTTAGCATGCAACCGAGCCCTGGTGTGGTTCGATCATGGACCATCCAGCAAACCAGCGAGAGAAAGTAAACCAAAAGGAGGAAGTGATGTCACCTGCACTCATGATTTAGACGTGATGCATATATTGCTCTCTGCGTCTCTGCAACCACAACAGGACGTTGTAGTCTCTTAGTCTCCTAGTCTCCATGTTTTTTCTGCACTGCTGCGTTTGTCCCATATATGGAAACGAAAATACAGATATCAAGGAGGCTTTTTTATCCAGAAACACACAAATCAGTCATAACTAGAACAGATCAATATTTTGGATATCGAGAACAGCTTTCTTCCTATGCAGATTTCCACTAATTTAACCATCGTGATGTCACACTCATTTTTTCTATTTAGAATGAATATCAAATATCGAATTCATAACAGAAACTATCATTTCAAATTTACGTATATAATTTAAAATGGAATTAAAAATATTTATTTATTTATTTATTTTTATTAAATGTTAAAACAACTTGCCATTTGCTCGCTGCTAATGCTGAATACCATAGTTCACGTCGTTTTGGCACCTTTTATAATTGTCCCAAATAAAAATGCTCCACAACTTCAAATTTAAAACCTTTTCAACAGCTTGACCAAATATTTTAGTCACCAAATCGCAGGTAGAAAACCCAATTTAATGGGATTTCAATTGAAGTGTAAAAAAGTTAAGCGAGTTCAGAAATGTGAAAATCTGGTTCTGTTTAAAAAAGAAAGGGGATAAAAGCAGCAGTAGGTAACTAATCCACATTAGTTGGACCATGAGGCTAAAGCTCCCTGAAAAGATACTTTGAAATTTTAAAAGATCATATCCTTATTTTACGATCACAGATTTTACAATTGGATTTTTTCTTTCTTTCTGCTACACATTTGTGCTGGGAATATTTCACATAACATTTTATGAAATAATGCCAATGTCAAATGTATTTATATAGCGCTTTAAAAATTAAAACTGCACCAAAGTGCTGTGGAAAAATGCTACTAAAATAAGTTGATGAAAAGAAAAATAATAAGAGTAATAATAATAAGTAAAGAGAAAAAGTGGTCACTAGCAAGAGATAGTGAAATAATTCTAAGTAACCTGCCAACCACAGAGCGTAGCTACGGCAAAATGTGTGACGTTTCTGTCCTGCGCCTGTTCTTGAAAACTGTCATGGTGTTTACCCCTGCCAGGAAGTGGGTGGCTTACAGTAAACTGTACCAGAGCTTGGAGGTGGACTCGTCTGTGCTGTTCCATCAGCTCACCAGCATAGAGTACCACTGGCATCAGCAGGAGCTTCCCTACCAGCAGGTGGGCACACATGCACGACTCGCTGACCGCACAACAGGGAAAGATCGCAAACTTTCACCGTACATTTGTAACTGTCTTAACATTTCTAAGTGAAAAAAAAAGACTAATTGCATAAGTAGTTTGCTTGAGTTATCGCTTGTGGGTGTGTGTTTGGTGTCAGAGCTCAGGAGAAACTAGAAGTTAAGATTTCAGCACAGATGAGGCTTGTGTAAGGCTCCTCTTTCTGTTGACAGAAACAGGAACTTGGGGATTCTCTTCACGACTTCCTGCAGTACGGACTCTGTTTGGTTTCCAAATACAGAGACATCTTTCCCCCGACTCCCAGTGCCACTCCGAAACTACACACACTCCTCAGGTACATCTGCCTGGAAAACACACACACACACACACACACTCGTATGTTTTAATTACGAGCCCTATATACCAAATAAATTATTATTATTATTATTATTATTTTTAATTAATGCAGGATCTTGGTCCAGATCTGTAAGACTCAAGCTTTCCAGAAACAGAACCCGGCCAACTTTGAGCTTCACCACGAAGTCCACGATGCCATAGAGGTGAAGCATATTTCCAATTACATGTCATGGTTCATTTTTACTTGTATGGAAGTTCATCAAATCAAAATAGTGAGTTTTTTTATACCAGACAGGCACAGAGGAGTGGTTTGCCATCAAAAAGGGGTTGCATCAGCCAATGACCAAGGTAAAAAAAAAAAAACTACCAAAGCTCAAATACACACAATAAAAATGTTTCGTTATCATTCTAATAGGGGGATTTTTAATGTACTGAAGCTGTACGGCAAGCTGATTTATATCACAATAACGTCTAGTTAAAATGACCTTTTGTCTGATAACTGAATCATCTGTTAGGTTTCAGCAGAAAGGATGACGCTTGCTAAAGTGTCCACGCCCCTTTGATTTCTCTTTGCCTATTTCATCACTTGGCAGTTTTCTGTGATAAACCAGCGCAAGGCTCATCATACACTGCAGAAAAATCTTACAAAATCTTACCAAGTATTTTTAGTCTAGTTTCTGGTTGCAAATGTCTTTGCACACTGACAAATAGCATTTCGTTATTGTTTTAAGTCAATCATTGCTTTAATATTGATAAAAAAAAGTTCAATTTCCATTAGATTATTTCACTTATGACATGAGAAAAATGTCTCGATGGAAGAGAAATAATCTGTCGGTGGAATTATAACTTTATCGTCAATATTGAGGAATTATTGTCTCATAACAAATTGGTTTATCTGACTTGTAAGTTAGTTTTGAGTTATTTAAAGAGCACAAGGACATTTGCACTGAATACTTGAGATTTGTTTTGCAGTGTGTGAAGCAGCGGAGAAGTATCGGTTCTCTATTCCTTTACAAATGAAAAGCAGGATGTTTGACTAGATTTTGGAATTGATCTCTGTTCTGAGTAATAAGCTCACAGGCGCATCTATGAAATCTGATGATAGCAGTGCGGGAGTGAAGTTTGGCCGCATGTGTTGCCACGCAAATGCAATTTCTGCATTCTGCTGAAACGCAGGACCTGACAGAGATCGGGAGCGCCCTCTCGAGGCTGATTGCGGAAGTTCAGGAAGACATAAGACACAACAAGGACGTGTGGAACCGAGTTTTCGTCAGGTGAGAAGAGACAACAGACTTTTTTGTTGCTGCTGTTGAAAAAAGCGGTCTGTGAATCACTCCGATGTTAATCAGTTGTTCTCTTCACTCCAGTGCTGTGCAAGTTGATGTCTTCACTGTTGTCTATAAGAAGTTTGACTCCTTGGTGAGCTGCAAATGGAGCAGGCCTAGTTCACGTGATTCAACTCATTTTCTCACTTCCCACGGTTCTTGTTCTCCATAGCTTGCAAAGGAAGTGAGAGAAACCCTCGCCATAATGGAGGACCAAATGGAGCTGAACCTTTCCAAAAGCCTGTTTCCTGTTTACCTGAGCTTGCAGGCCATCCACAAAGACAAGGCCTTCCTGCAGAAAAGGTCCGAATCATCACAAATTCTGCTATGATGATTTTATTTGATCAAACCCAACATGTTAGATTCATTTCTTCGTTTTTTTTTTTTTTATTCTTTTGCCGTCGTTTTACTTATTCACAATCATCTATTCTTTAATAATATTTAATAATCACGTGACGCCATGGAGGAAACTGGTTGCAATGGATTACATTAGGGGAATCAGATTAAAGGGGGTTGAAAACAAAATCAAAGTATGTCATGTGATTTGTGACGAACTGATTTTTCATTTTGTTTTCATACACATAAACATCCAATTTATTATTATGTGCTCTTTGTGTTGACAGAAAGGCTCTCATTGTGTCTAGAAACACAATAGTTAAGAGAGAAAATGTTATGCAAGAAGACTGAGCCACAGCGTAGAAGACACAAATATTTGTCTTTTGCTTTTCCTTTCCCAGGGGATTACTCCAGCTGACAAACTTTCATGAAGGTTTCCGGGACGCCCTGCCGTACTGGCTGAACCAGGCGTTCAGCACCACTCAGGACCGGGTGGTCAGGGCGGTGCAGGTTGACCAGGTAACACGTTGCTGATGATGGGCAACATGGCTCACCGCCCGCCGGGGGCGGCATCAGCGTCGCGCACGGGGTGCTAACGTTAATGTTTTAAAAGTAGCTTCGTTCTACTTCTGCAGAACTAAACCCAGTTCTTAACTAAAGCCAGCTTGTTGTGCTCTCAGCTGCAGCCGCTGCAGGTCGGTGCGGCCCCCATAAAGCACAGCTCCTCAGCCGTAGACCTGGTGGCGTGCATCCAGCCAATCTGCCACTTATGGGAGCAGCTGTCGTGGCCTGACCCCGAGGAGGCCTTCATGCTCATGGTCAAACTCACCGAGGTATTAAAGAAAAGTGTGTTTGCTTCTTTCTTTTTTTTAAATATATTTGTTAAAACTATCACTATGTTGTGATAGTTGAAAGAGAAAATGTTAAGCAAGAAGAACAAATGATCTATTCCGTCAGAAACAACCAAGGTACAAATGCTAAAGCTAGACAACCACCAGTGACCGTGTCTGTCAAGCAATTAATCACACGATAAATTTAGATGAGCTGTATAATTTATATTCTGATGATTCATGATTCATTTTATCTATGGTTCCAGTTTTGTGTGGTTTTCATGTGTGTGTTTCTAATTTGGATATTTAAAGTGTCTTCCAGTTCCAGTGTGGAGTGATTCTGTACAAAATTAAGATTTATTGACTTTTGAGAAAGCGAACGTACATTATTAAGCCATTAGCAATACATTAATTGAAAATAGCCTCAAAACAACACTATTATTGTCAGACGGAATAATTACTGGGACAAATTATCGTCCAAGAAAATTTGTCATCGATGACAACGGTTTTTTTGTGTAACGTTGAGTTGTTTCGCTGGCCATTAGCACAGTTAGCAGTACGTACATGAAGCTGATTGTCAGCGCTAAGACACCCCCTCCTGGCTCTGATTGGTTGCTTCTGACCGGGAGCGTCACATTTCTTCAGACGGCAATAGTAGATCATTTGTCTCATACCAGACTCTCATGACATGGTGACATTTTTAACAAATATGTTATAAAAAAAGAAAAAAGAAAATTTTTGGAAAAGTTACATACTGCAGTTTCACAGCCTTTTTATGCAACTGTTTGCACTAAGTGAATTTCTACTCATGTTTCCAGGATGTTTGCAAGATTGTAGTGAACTACTGTCACCTCCTAAAGGAGCGGGTCCGGGTGCTGTCTGAGAACTCGGACCACAGCATTGCCATCAACATGGTAACCAACCACATCTTCACTCTAGAAAACTTTCCTGCACATCTTCCTCCATGTGCCTCAGGTTTTTTTTTTCTTCTTTTCTCCTTCCCTCGCAGCTGTGCGTCGTAGTGAACGACCTGGAGCACCTGCGCTCGGTGCTGACCCGCCTTCCCTCTCAGCTCAACTGGGAGGGGCTTCGCGTGCGCATCCAGAGCGTCATAGGGCAGAGCCAGTTTGAGAACACGCTGCATTCCCAGCTTCAGCAAGCCAAGAGCATCCTCTGCAAGGAGATCCGGTCGGCGCTGGACACTCTGGGGAGACAGGTACGCCTCAAGTCACGCGCTCTGGTGTGTTTCATTGGGACTTCGTGTGACGAACCAACATGAAGCTCTGCGTGAGTCGGACCTGCGACGAAAACAAGCCACGGCTGTAGAAGATTGACGAGTGTAAATCTGGATTTGCATTTGAGCCCCTTTTTCTCTGATATTCCTAAATGAAATGAAGTAGAAATTTATGACTCAGGTGTGAGAGCTTACCGGCAAACCAATTAATTGTTGTGCACTTTAAAAAAATCTGGGTTTTGCTGAAGAGTGTCTTGACACAAGCAATATTTAATCTTGTTTTGCCCCCCAAAAATAAATAAACTGTTTTGTGAAAACTGGGCATAATCTGAAATACATCATCCACTGGAAAAACACATCTTACCAAGTATTTTTGGTCAAGTTTCTTTTGCAAATATCCTAGTACACTTGAAATAAGGAAAAACTAACTTACAAGTAACTTTTCAGTAGCAATTAAAAGTTTGTCTTTAGTCAATAATTCCCTAATATTGATAATAAAGTGCTTGTTACATATCGGGATTGGGAGTGAAAATAAGTAGATCGGTGCGTCCCAAATGCTTTTCTTGCATAGAAATCTGAAGAGCTGAGACTGGGGAGGAGGTTCACCTTTCATCAAGACAAGTCAGAATGTCCTAGTCAAAGTCCCTTGACTTGAAAGATACTCTAATTTAAATTTTTTAATTTAAGACAAAAAAAAAGAGGGAAACTACTCATCATTAGCTTCACTTCAGACTCTTGTGTTGCTTCATGGTGGTTGTTCACAGGTGACCCCGACAGTTCAGACTGAGGTTTGTGTTTGTAAAGTGAGAAAACGGGAAAACCTGCAAAGGCTTTCGCGGCGCAGCTGTTTCGTGAAAGAAACGTGCTTGTTTTTAACCTTCATGAGCCGAATGACATCAAAAGTAAAACACAGCTCCGTCTGCGCTCTCAGTTGAACACAGACATCGAGACTCACGTCAGGAGCATGTCCACCAGACGGAGGATCCCCTCCAAGTCCACAGAGGACGTGAGTCCGCTCCTCGTTACCACGCTTTCTCTTTTCTCCCTCTCCAACAATCAGCTGCTATTCTCCCTTCATGTCGCCTCGCTCGTCTCCTCCTAGGCCGCAGCGCCTCTGATGCGCTACCTCGAACAGGAGCTCCAGTACATGAATGAAAACCTGGTTCAAGAGAACTTCAACAGGTGCTCCGCCCACTCGTCTCTGTCAAACAGGCCGAATCGCCTCCCTTTCGTCCGCTGATCCGTTCCCTTAAACATCGACTTGTGTTTTATCTCCCTCTCCCGTGACCAGCCTCCTGACGCCGTTGTGGCAAAACTCTGTGAAAATTCTCTATCAGGTTTCCAGCCAGCATTCGCAGCAGGAGGGGCTCATGGTGTTCTGCCAGAGGCTGCTGTACACGCTGCAGGTGGGTTCCTGTCAGAGCTCACTCACCTCCCGGTGATGGTCTCCGCAGCCTCACGCCGCGTGTCCTCTGTCTTTAGTGTCTCGAGCAGTGTTTCCACGCCGACGGAAACGGACTTCCTCAGAAGGCGTTGCACTCCGACGAATACAAGGTGAGTCCCGCGGACGCCGGCAGCTGACATCTCTAGTGTTTCATTGAAGTGTCATCAATCCAGGTCCGTTTCCTGTCTGGTGAGGACAAAAAAGAAAAGAAAAAAAAAACAATTTAGGTAGCGCAGTGAAAAGGCTTGATTTCTGTGATTTCCTTGAACGCTTGAACAGAATCTGAAGGCTCACCTCACTCACCACTCGCTGACCAGCCACCAGCTCATAGAGAAGTTCTTCAAAAGAAAAATATCAGAGCAGGTGAGTTATTGCGGTAATTAAAAAATATGAAATGTTTGATATTCCAAATAACTCCTGTGAGCTTTTTTTTTTGTTTTGTTTTACGGTTTATTCTGCTCCAACCGTCTCGCAGAGAGATTACCAAGGGGAAAAGTATGGAGCAGTCACCCTCCTCACGTCCTACAGGAGGTCCGACCAGAGGCTGCACATTGAGGTGCTCAATGCAGTCAGCCTCCTACCAATGGACTCCAATGGTACACCACAACAATCACAGCTATGCACTGGCTATATTAAAGCATTCAATCACCTTATTATTGATTTGTAAAGCAGCTCTAGCTCACTGGGTCTGCACAGAAGAAAAGCCTGTCAACGTCAATTCTGGGTCAAAGGTTCAGATTTAAAGGGGACCTATTGTGCAAAATTCACATTCTGTATGCTTTTGTACTTCAGTTTGGATTTCTACTGCTGCTAAGAACAGCTCAAGCCTTTCTTTTTTGTTGTTATTTTTACTACGAGTTAATGTATTTATTTTTCGCCATCTGAAAAATGTGCCGTTTCAAAAACTAATTGCTTGGCAGCACAGCTCAGCTACTGGAAAAGACAAATGTTTTGGTTGACTTACCATCCAGAATCCACTTGCTGCATTCTTGTTGGTTGCGAGGGAAGCTCCACTTCTGCTTTTCAAAGATGCGCGGTTGTATGATCGCGCATCTGTTTGCAGCCATCTTCATGTGCGAGTGTGTAAACGTTGTATTGCTGGGGGGGCGTGGCTCGCAGTAGCTTATTTGAACTTAAAGTGACAAGAGGCCCTAAAACAACTCAAGACGCAGAACTGAGATCTCATGTTATGAACGTGTTTTGTATAGTCCGTAGATCTGTCCCAACCTGCTCAAGGAAGAGGTCACCTTTATACTATCAAATGCGTGTTTTGGGTTGTCCTAATAAATGGTTTGTTATACTAATGTTTCAATTTAAAACAGAAAAAGTTGAAGCGGAGTGTGAACACTTTTGCACGGTCGATACATAAATAAAGAAAAATGCTTGAGACCCCTACCTGCATGACCTGGTGCTCTGATGCTTGCCAGGCCTCAGCGACCCGTTTGTGCGTCTGTGCCTGGAACCCAACCACGTCTTCCCCGAGATAGAGCCGCGCTGCACCCAGTACAAAAGCTGCGATCTCAACCCCCTCTTCGACGAGGCCTTCGATTTGTACGTCTCTCTCTGCGCAAACACAAAATCTTGCATAGTATTCTGGCCTAGTTTCTACTGCCAAATATCTTGGTATCGTTGAAATAAGACAAAACTAACGCACAAGTAACTTTTTTATTGAGATATAGAAACTTGCTTTCAGTCATTAATTCCTTAATATTGATGGAGAAAGTACTAATTCCACTCGCAGGCTACATTTCGCTCCTCCTTTCATGCTTCCTGCGAGATCGTTTTAGAGGTAAATTCCCGGCTGACTTGTTTTCTGTATCGCAGCCTGGTTTCGCTGGATCAGTGCCAGACTCCAGGAGCGTGCTTGGTCATCACGGTTCTGGACCACGACACCTTGAGGCCAGATGACTTTGAGGGCGAGGCGTTCCTGGCCCTTGAGGACGTGCCTGGAGTTTCAGAACAAGAAGGAGAGGAAGTCGACTCGCAGGTGGACTCAGCACCTGAACAGATGCGCCTGCCTTTGATGCACCCTAAACTTAATGGTAAAACTTTTCTCTTTTTTTTTACCATTTAATAAAGGAGTGGGATTAAAAAAACATGGCAGGATACCTTGCTACACACAGCTCCAGTAGCAAGTTTCCAAGGCCCAGAGCTTCCCCCACTCAGCTCCTTCAGACTAGCCAGCAGCAATTAGCAAACACCTGGTGGAACTGTGCATCTGCTGAGCTGATCATACATGTTACTTCTCAGTGAAATTGTGCTAAAACATTGTTAAAGGGTTATCAGAAGGAGCCATGTTGTGATAACTTACTGAAAGTAGAGGTTTTTTTTTAAGAGACAGGCCCAATTTTAGAGTGTTAAATGACAATCAAATTTCTTTTAAGTCCTATTGGATAAATACAGAATTTCTATAACAACTGAAGGTAACGCTGTCACTTGATTGCGCTATAAAATTGCACTGTGTGCCTGGGAAAGATGTCATACAGCCCTTGAAAGATATTTTTGATCTATCGGTTTTGGAAAACTAAAATTTGAGGGAAACTTAAGACATTTATGTTCATTTCATGGGCTAACGTTTCCCTCCCGCCTGACTGCGTGTTGACAGAGGACAGCATCCTGAAGCTGCTGGAGTCCCGGAGAGGCGAGCGAGAGGCTCAAGCCTTCGTCAAGAAGCGACGCCAACGGGAGAAGCAGTCCCAGGAGGCGGTCCAGCAATGACAAATGCACGGATACATGGTCTTCCTCCAAAAATATACAATTTGTTTTTAATGATCAGTACCAAAAGACAAAAAAAGAAGAAAAAAAAAAGAAGAGAAAAGAGAAAGAATGCACTCAGAAAGAAAACACTGGTGTTGCATGAGTTGTGTGTGGACAACATGACCATCACAGTGATCTGAAAAACACTTTCGCGCCCGCATTTCAACATTTACATATCCGCATGCTTCCCGATGGTTCGTCCAATCAGTGCAAGAGAAAGATATAACATCACTTATGTATGTGTATACATTTATATATAATATATATCAGGTATATATATTATATACACTGTTGAAAGACTGAAATGTCAAGAGTACTACAAATGTAGAAATTTGGCAGAGAAAGCTGTCACATATTGATTTAAAAATAGCTAAAAAGCCTAATTTTTGTTTTTTTTTTACTTTTTTTTTGAGTGTTCTGAGCTTGATTCATGTCGAACATAAAGGGTGTTAAAATAAATAATATCTGAAACTGGACCTGTTGGCCTCGTTTGTTACGCCTTCCTATAGTTTCTAGAGACCAAAAAAAAAAAACCTGAGTATGAAAAAAAATATACAAATTAAAAACTCAAGGCCATTAATTAGATGTTTGAACAAATTCTATATTTCAATTTTTCTTTAACTATTTGAATTTCTTAATTCCTAATAAACAAGACACTCCGCTTTAGCAGTGAAGAATCAATGGAAATATGCCCTTTAAGTGTTTCCAGAGTGACCTTTTTTTTTTTCCTCTAAAGACGTTCCAACTCCCTGAAATATAGTTAAAAAACACAACAAAAAAAACGGATTATCTACGGTGTCATCCATCCGTCGAGGCAGTTTTCAGACTGACGAGACGATCACAACACCAGGACGAACACAGCACAATTTATTTCCCTGTTGTTTTGTGGAGGGGAGGGGGACAGCGCCGAACTCTGGTGGAGTTTTAATTGCCAAAAATACAAAAAGCGGACGTCTTTATTACTCCCCTGCCACAGCGAATCACAAAACTCTCCCGATGGATGCATGACACTCTGGGGAAATATGGTCACTAAAGTGAGATTATACTTTTTGATTTACATCATTTAAAACTAGCTATGTAAATGCTTCATAGTTAGGGGTCAGAGTAAAATATAAGAGCAGGTATTTTAAGTTATTTTCACAAGTGAATCGCGGGGGAAAGGAGGGCAGGCGGGGGGGACGTACAGTGTTGCTGGTCGAGAGCATTAAATATCAGAACATATTGTTTTCCTTGGGTAACACTGGCGACAATGATGACGTCCAATTCCGCGACGAGAGCGCTTCCTCTGCGACCGTTTCAAGGTACGAAATCGAATCGGTGCTCGTGTCGTTGCGCCGACGCGGGTTTGGTCTCTTTTAGTCGTGTCCAAACGGTGGTCAGAATCCGAGGCTGGTAAGGTGTGGAATCAGGACTGACTGGTGTGGAATCTGGGGCGGTCCCACGGCGCGGCGAGGTCAGGAGTGCTGCTGCTCGGCGGTCTGTTCGGGGCAGAGCGGGCACTCGGCGGACGACGAGCAGCCCTCGCACTGGAGTCCGTGGCCGCAGGGCAGCGAGGCCGAGCCCTGCTCCCCGCACGTCACGCAGCACTGCCTCTGCTTCCTGTACACCACCTGGAAGACACGATGGCGGAACACAGCGTTACTCTATAGACTCCAATGGGAAGATGTATTTCTTTAGAGTGAGATAAAACTTATAGCGAGAGATGCACTGATTGGTATGCATCAGTAGCGATCTGTCCAGTCTAACACTATTTTACATTATATTTAGAATTCTTAATTACACTTTCTAAACAATTTGGAAGTTCGATTTTGTCAGTTTCTTTATTATTTATTTGTACTCTCCTCTTAATTGCGCTGACTGAGAAAATTAAAGTTGTGTTGTTTTTACACGTTTCACCAAGCTTGTGAAGCTACTGGTGTATTTTTGTGTGCTGTACTGGTGCAAAGTCATCAAATACATTTGTAATTCAATCGATTTATGTCTGTGCTTGCAAAAAAACAAAGAAATGCCTCAAGTCAATTCAGCCGTTTTTCTGCATCTGAAGGATCACCTGTTCCACAGCGTGTAAGCAGCTGCAGAGTTGAGCCTTTAGGCTCAGGACCGACTCCAGCGGCAGGCGGTGCAGCAGCTGGAGCTGATGCAGTGCAAGGTGGGGGTTGTCTCCGCTCCGCAAGCTCTCCAGCGCCTCCTGCAGGAGCGAGATCTGCCTCTGCGCCTCCTCCTCAGCCTCCCGGGCCCGCTCGGCTTCCACGGCAAACCGGGCTGCGTTCGCGCGAGACTCCTCCGCGTCCGCTTTGACGGCGGCCCACGACTGGGGAAAACAAACGAACGCGTCGCTGAATCGCTCTGCGTCGCGGCTGAGCTTGCGCTACAGAAACGCAGCCGTTGCCGCTCCTCTACCTACCTACCTGAGCTGTGTGCCTCCAGCTGTGACCCCACTGCTTCAGCGCCCTGTGCGTGTCCTCCAGCTCCTGCTTGAGCCTGGCGGTCTCTGCACAGGGGCCGGAGGGCAGCAGGGCGGGAGGGGTGCCAGGAGAACCCTGACCCGACGGGAAGTGCTCCCAGATGTTTGTGCTCATGCCGTTCAGACCTATGAAAAACACAATAATATAAATAGAGGTGTTCTAAGTATTAATTTAGGGTTTCTGCAAGTTTTAGCAAGTCAAATGTAAGACTTTTTAAAAACTTGATGCCACGGTGAATGAAATTCAAGACTGAAATAATATTAATGTAAAGTATGGTTGGGGGAAACTGCTGCATTACAATCAAGCATAACAAGAACAGTGGCTTTGTATTCTGCATATGACTCGTTTTAAGCGAGGCACTTACATTAAAAGTGCCTACCTGGGCTAAAACAAGCTAGGCCAAGTGCCTAGCTCTTTTTGAGATACACACTAGCTAGCAAGGGTATATTAGCTAGGAGTAGCCTCAAATGCCTCAAATCACAGCATGCAATAATATGAAGATATTTGCATGTGACTCAAATTTTTGCCTAACAAAAAAGTCCCACAAAAAGAAAAATAAATAAATAAAATGTCCTACCGCCACAAAATTTAAGACCTGTGATTAACATATTTAAGGCCAACTTGCATTTTTTAAATGGATTTAAAGGCACATGAATTTATGTCTAAAACTGCGTCTTGAATCTGATGCTTGTACCTAAAGTGCTGTGAGACGGTCCGAGGAAGGGGCTCTCTGACAGGCTCGGCTGTGACGGGTGAGAAGAGAAGAAAGGTGAGGCTTGTGGCCTGACTGGAGGCGACGGAGACGGAGAGCTGAACGGGGCGGAGCTGCTGAATGATCCTGGAATGTTGACCGGAGCCGAACTCTGAATCTGGTTGCCTCCTGCAAAACCAGAGAAAACGGAAAAAATGTCTTAATAATGATTACTTCTGCGTGGTTTTGAGTTTATTTTACCTCCGCGTTTTCAAATACCTAGCATCACCCCAACACTGGGCAGGGCCGAACTGCTCTCCATGCTCCGCTCCAGCGCAGAAACTCCAAAGTCATTCAGATCCAGATCGTCCAGAGCCGACTCTGTCACACAGCAACACCAGGGCGCTTGCTTTTAATCAGGTCTCATGTCAGCTGCAGCAGAAATATGAATTCTAGTATTAGTTTAATACGTACCAACGACTGATTCGACAGTCTCACTGGTGGGGTAAAAAGGCAGGGCGTTAGCGTTCATTCCCGAGGAGATGCCGGACCCTGGTGGGCCGAGAGCGGCGGGGCTGGGGGGTGTGGCAGCTAGACTGGAGGGGATGCTGGAGGACAGACTCAACGGGCTGCCGACAGGGAGGAACACTAACAAGTCCTGAAGAAGAAAACACAGAATTTAATCCTTCCGCCGTTTCAAAACAGACCCAAAAATGCACAGAGTTTATAGGCAAAGCCATAGCTGTTACATTTTTAAGAGATTTGTACCTGTTTGCTCTGCGTGGAAGCAAACTCTCTGCTGCGATGTTCGAGAGCGAACCCTCTGTGTTTGGCCTGAAATTGTGAGCAAATGTTGTAAAAAGATGTCAAGATGTCATAAACAATAAAAAGTTTATTTCCCCAATTGCCTCATACTTTCCAACTCTTTCGCTTAAGCAGCAAAATTGAACATTTCTAGAACGTACCAATTATTCATCTGATTTGCAGTCCCGCTGAGCACACATCCTCACCTGATCTTCCCGTTCAAATCCTGGCGCCCTGCCGTACCCTCTCTCGCCAGCCCAAGGGGACAGCGGGTCTCCTCCCCCGCTGGCACCCTCACATAGCGACAAAACGCTACCCAGCAGCCCTTGCTCCGCCACGCAGGACACTGCAGAGGGGGAGAAGTGGTCCGACGCGGAGCCGAGCCCCATGCCGTGACCCCCGGGACTCTGGGAAACGTCGTGACCGGGAAGGGGATCCAGGAGCCTCGGGGGAGGAGGGGAGCCGGGGCTGGGGAAAATCGACTCCTCTGCAGCAAAAGGCTCTGGGGGAGGATTCAAACCAAAGAGGCATGGAACTACAACAAAAACGAATCGACAGATGTTGAAATGCGGAGCTGTTCCGTGGGATCTTACTTTCAACATGAGCGAAGGCACAAAATGGTCCTCTGGGACAGCTGCCACATTGCTGCATGTCATTACACTTGGTGGATTTATAAATCTGTAATGAAGGACACAGTTCCCAATCAGCTCCCGTGGTTTCTACGTTAGACTCTGGCAGAACAACAAGAAGCCAATCCAACCTCTGGGTGGAACTGCTGCTCTGTTCTCGTGTGGCAGTACTGACAACCCTCTGCTCCCTCGCACTTGCTGGGATCCCCCCACTCTTCGCCCTGTTTCACCGCCGGACATGGCAGCGCTCTGCGGTGGCAAGAAAAAAAACAACAAACAAACAAAAGAAAAAAAAACAGGTTCTCTCTTTAACAAAACCCAAACCAACTAAAATGATTTGAGTGTTCAAGAACTGAAACAGGAAGTCACCTGTATTTGTGCTTGTGCGGGCTGCGCCGCCTGTCTTTGCTGTTGTGGT